TGTAGTAAAAACGGTTATTTCAATATTACAAACAGATACTCCAATTTTAGAGGCTCTGAAAAGACTGGACAGATTTTGACGTGACTTTTTTTGGCAGGTAGCTGAGGTAATAAGCAGTAACTTAGGCTACTTTTATTTTAGAAAAAAATCCTTTATTTTAGAAAAATAAAGTTAAATTCCATGCGAAGGAAGTCGCGGGTGCAGCTAGTACAGTATAATAAATAAAATATATATGTTGATGGTACTGCACTATAATTTTAGAAAGAGAATTGCTTCCGTAAGATTTATATGTGTAATAAATACATAAAGTTATACTAACAAATAAAATTTTAATATCTGTTTGTAATGTCAAATTAACACCTTTAAATACATTTGAAAGTATACATAAATATTTTTTTTTAAAAATGTCTCCTTGTCTGTTTATTTCTTGCTAATCTCTGAAAGGAACTTAATTTGTAGAGACTTTCACACGCAGATAGATAAATTGTTAAGAGTAACTAAAGCTGCTTTTATTTTAGAATTTTTATTTATTTTAATAACAGTAGTAGGTTAAATTCCATGCGGACGAAGTCGCGGCTCAAAACCGGTATAATAAGAAATTCAGGCGAGTCGTTAGTTTTTTCATGAGTGTCTTTTTGCCCTACACGTGACCGGGAGAAAATATCACAATGCATTCGTCATTTCTGTACTAGATTAGTGAAATTTCAATAAATTTAATAATAATTTACAAAAGTGTATTTACTTGAGTCTGGCAAAGAGTTTTATTAAAGTTCATTCTTTTATTGCTTTTAAAAATTGTACAATTTGGCGAGCTTTTTACCATATGGCATTCCCTACCAGCTAACCACTAGGTAAGAATAGATGGGCAGTGGTAAGAAAGGACACACCTAGGATTTTACCTAACATAGTTTATCTGTAACAATATCTTCTAAGGCACTCTTAAACTAAACATTAAACACATTGTTAAAACCGCTGACTGCAAGAAAATTCAAAATACAAAAACAGACATAGCTGTATAGACTGAGTCCCTATGCCTTTCCTAATAAAGCAGAAGTAAAATAAAATAACAACATGTCTGCCGGCTATCGTACATTACAGCTTTCGACACGTCGTCTTTTGGTTTATTTTCAGTGCGCTGCTGACGTAAGCATTAAACCCAGACGTTACCCATTTGTTGATTCTACGTTATGAATTAAATTATATAACGCCTACGTTTCCATACGTTGACTATTTGTATTGGAATTTTTATAACTTGAATATATCTGTAACTAGCTGCCAACCCGGCTTCGGACGAGTGGATATGTATTATATTTATTAACCTTCTATGAAAGTTGTATTGTTGCGTTGTTGTGTTGTTTAAATGATCTACAGACAGCCTGAGTGACATTGTTTTATATAATATAAAAAGATAGACAGACAGACAAGACATATATACAGGATTATCCCTATTGGAAAGATACTCATACATATGTCAATGACGGATTGAAATTGTTTCTTTTTTTTATTTACTGCACCATTCCAAATACCAAATAGTATAAAACAAAGTGTCTCTTTTCATCTGTCTGTCTTTATTTCCGGGTACTTCACCTAAACCAGATTTTGGATGATTTACATATAAATTAATAAAATTCGCTATAATTCCTATTTATATGCAATACTTAGAAAGTGTATAATATTAATGTGGATGGATTTTACATCCATCCACATTCATGAGGAGGGATAGATGAAGAAGGACGCCCTAAGAAAAGATGGATGGATTGTGTGAAAGATGATATGAATAAAAGAAGAGTATGCTCAGATATGACGAATGATAGAGAGCAGTGGAAGAGAATGACATACTGCACCGACCCCAAATAATGGGATAAAGGCAAGGCAATGATGACTTAGAATATAATATAATTTTATTTACTCTCATGTAAAATCTTATACAAACACTAAGTTTTCCCTTCACAGTAGAAAAAAAATACGAAAAGCAAAATTAAGATTAACTTGACATTAAATATCTTCCAAATCTGAAATGTTTTTAAAACGTTTACTAACTTTTAGTACTGTATAAATACGGCCGTATAGCAAGTCATGTGGCCGGGGGCTTGGCTGGTAAAATATGATGTTTCGTCTCGTCATCTATTTGTGTCTCCCTCATTCAGGTGCTCGTATTACGACAAAATCTAACATCGGGGACGTTACGTCCATTTTTTTATCACAATTTTGCCAATTAAGTATACTGAATTTCGGATGGTAAACCACTACCGTTAGGCTATAGACCCTGAGAAATCAGAGTGTCCCTTACGCGAAAATAACAAATTTAATATTTTGTTATATATCGTATAATTTGTTTATCCCCGAAGTTAATGCAGAGGCAATGGGGCTTGTTTCTAGCCCCCAACCAGCACTTCGTGAGGAGGGTATGGAAAAATTTGCTGTCTGTTTGCTTTATTTGTCTGCTTTATTAATTTTTGTTATTTAATTATCGGAAGTCTGCGATTCGGCAAATGTAGCGTAGAATGCCTCGCAGCAAGGTGGAGCGACAAGATACGTAAGGTTGCGGGTAATAACTAGACGAGAAGGGCTGAAAATCGTGCCCAGTGGTGTGCCTTGGGAAAGACCTTTATCCAACAGAGGACTGCAGTAGGCTGATGATCATGATGATGATGATGATTATCGCCAATAGATGACATCTGCAAATGTATACGCCGACGAAGACTCGACCACCACTAGTTTTATAATAAAAGTGAAATTATGAGTAATCACTTATTTGTAACGTGAAATAAAACGCCTGGCATATACCTATATCCCGGCTCCAAACTCGTGACCTATACGTCACTATCCCCAGTTTACGTAAAACATACGTACATACGTACGTACGTGAAAGTTCTATTTATATACCCTTTTTCTCTGTAGCCATAATCTTATTCAAGGATAAAATCTTACTAATAAATTTATAAAATTTTTTTGCTTAGTCTTATTATCTATCCATCTGCAAAAGAATAGAAAAAGAATAGTAGTCATCAAATTTCAAATATACTTGGCCTGGCGAAGCATGAACATCTTAATGTTTCGTTCACCACAACATGAACAGTTGACAATATCTCTGACTACCCCTCTGACAGTCGTGACAGTGGGTTTTGTGTTAAACATGTTGTTTTTAAACTCATATTCCTTTTAAGACTAATAAGTACTGTTTTTAACTATGTACGGCAATTTAATGAACCTTCTACGAAAATCGTCTTAAGCAGATAACGTTATATATGCTATTGCAGTGAAAATACGATTTATCACAAAAAAATATCTAATAATAATTTCCAGGTTAAGTACGAGGCATCAACAATAGCATTACACTAATAAACAATTAAATTGAAAAAAATATCAATTTATTAACCTGTAGCTGTAGTAGCAATTTAGCTTAGTATGATTATAAAGATATATTTATATGAAATAGTTTGTCATAAATATAGGTTAGTACAAAAATAATTGTCTATATTAAGTAAAAGACTTTAGACTGTTTTTTTATGAAAACAATGACACAACCAAGTACAAGGTTTTGTTATAAAAAGACTACTTTGGAAACCGTCCAAAGATCACTTAAAAACATTTGAAAGAAAGGTTTTTTACTTGTTTATAATTTATTTTTTTGCGATCACCTTTTGTTCGTTGCGCGCGTAAATACATGCTTATATTAAAATGTTAAAGTGACTCAATCTGTCTCAGCGTCTGTTACATTTTCACGCCTAAACCCCTAAATTAATATTAACGAATGTTGGTGGAGATAAATTCAATCTTGACGAAGGAAATAGCGTACTTTTTGTTGCAAAGATATACTTTTAAGGGCAGGAAACAGGGAATTATATTTTGCATAAGTATATACTAGTAATAAATAATGTTCTGTGTTTTCAACAAATCCAATTCAATCGAGTATTTTCTGTGGCAATTAGTGATGTGACACCTGTGACAATGGTGTACACTAGCGAGGCATGAGTGGAAGGCGATAGGATGGGCTTGAAGTCACGTCATTGAGTAATTCCCCAGGAATTGACCAGGATGGACCACGTGGAGTCAACTGAAAATTGTACTTTAGTAGCAATAGCTACTTGGTTCCCATTTTTAACAGTCTCCTCACCTTGTATCGGGTATAGTTTAAATCCTAATTCTACGCAGGCAAAGTCGTGGTTTTTCAGCTAGTAGCTCATAAATATGTGACAAAACGTTGTCCCGCCGCAAATATGAGCGCTAATCGACCATGAAATTGATCTGCTGCAGATAAATCATTTACTACAACTATTATCGGATATCGGATCATTCCTGTTCACTTTATGTAATCTACGTCTTAAAAAATACAACGTTCATAAATCGACTATTTTTTCTGTGTTACACAATACGGTGAAATGTAATGTATTTTTATCTTCTTTATGAAAACAAAATCGTTTCCTTTCTCGCAATATTAAAAAAATTGCTTATAGCATATACAAATAAGCTACTGTTGCCATGCTGTTAAAGACAGAAAGAATTTACCCGATGTCTATGGAGAAGATGTGTTGACAGCAAGCCAGTGCCAAAAGTTGTTTCCAAGTTTGGCTCCGGCAATTTTGATATCAAATATGCACCGCGTTCTGGAATGCCGGCTGAACCTGATAAAGACATAAGCCAATCGGTGAATAACAACGTATGAGGTCGGTGAGAGGTTAAATTTATCGAATTCAACTGTTTATGACCACTTGAAAGACCTGGGTTTAACCTCGAAGCTCGATATATCCCAAAAATAACGAAATTAATTTCCGATCAACCTAATATAAAAAAAAATTGTTTAATAATTAAAAACTACCGATACATTAAATTCCTACATTATCGTACTATATGACTATAACTGTTACTATGCCATGTGGCAGAGAATGCAAAAATTGTAATTTGGAAGCACCTAATATAATATTATTTTCACTATATAAGAAATAGTCTGTTCTTTGTATGTTCTTGTTCTTTTTTGATAAACCTCTTCTTTGTTCCAGGTGGTGGCCCGTCGATCGGATTTAAAACTGATCGTAACATCAGCGACCATGGATTCAACTAAGTTCTCCACATTCTTCGGAAACGTGCCCACCTTCACTATCCCTGGACGGACCTTCCCCGTCGAGACGTTCTTCGCCAAGAATGTGTGTGAGGATTACGTCGATGGTGCTGTTAAACAAGTAAGTATTTGTTTTAACGAATTAAATGTTGTTTTACGGTAGTCCAATTCATTCGTTAATGAATTTATATTATTTTGTTTCATTCCTCTACCAGTAGCATGTGTGAGACCACAAATATTCAGTGCGGAAACTTGATCACCGCTACTAAAAGCGTTACGAACTCCTCTATTGGTGGATCAAAGTTCATTGAGTCTACACCCGTAATTCGCCTCTTTTTTGCACTAGTTTTACTGAGCTACACTTTGAACAAAGTCGTTTTCTTACGTAAGCCACATTTCTACCTCCATGTTTATTTTGTAAGTTGAAGTTCGGTTGAAGGGTGAGATTTAGCAGTGTAATTATGCGTATGATGGTATGACACTATAGTCCTCAGCAACAAGAACAAATGTTTATTGATTTGCTGTTCATTTGTTTAGGCTACAGTTACCACCTTCCATTTGGTGGGCCGTCAGCTCTTTCCTTTCTAGTTACCTGTAAGCATATGTTCAATTATTGTCATTTTTTTCTCTTGTCGGACTTCTTCGATAGTACTGTTTAATAATAATAACAGCAATAAAACTTGTAGTTGTAGGAAACTGAATATAATTGGTGCAATTACAATAGATAACAAAAAAATGGTCCGTACAGTGTTGCAACTACCTTCCGGTCAAGCGTTAAATGGTTAACTATTACGCGGGATGGTATACGGAAACACTGAAATTCTTTCATTTTAATTGTTGTCACTAAATCAATCAATGTTAATTAAATTTCCGATTTCAACCCCGTTCGAGCAAGGGGGCGATTTCTTCTGAATTCCTTCGAGGCCTAGTGTTTTCATATTTCCCATAATACAGGATATACTTATGTAGGTTAGCTCTAGGACAAATCGTCGAGTAGTGTAAATTTTTTAAATATATTTTTTTATTCTTATCATTTTGTGACCGTATTTTTGGCAATGTTTGTCCTATGACAGCTCTTCGCTTTTATTCGAATTTAACCTAGTATGGGATCATATTCCCACTTTTATAGCGGCTGGTATTTGTAAAGAGAAACCTCTTGGGTTATATTGTGCTAAGAGAGCCCTTCACTTTTATTAGAATTTAACTATGTAATATATTTTATTATATGATATATGTAAGTGCAATAAAGAATATATAAAAGAATATCACTATCATCCAGTTCGCCTTGAGAAGAACTAACAAGAAACTCTACTGGTACATATTTTGCACACAGTACCTACCTATCCCTTTCAGAATTACCTTATAGTCAGATTAAGACGATTTAATATGTGCTTTATGGAGAAACTAGTTGTTAATTATTTTTCATCGAATGGCATCAAATAATGGAATCGGTAATTCTAGTCCGATCAATTTGCACTGTATGAACACCGGCGACGACGCCTTGCGAGTCATAACGCTCCAATGAATACATTTGTAATGTCAATTATCGAGACAAATTAAAGTGTTCGCTGCAGGGTTGCCAACCATATTTTATATTACCAGGATTCTTAGCCTTTTATTTAACGCATGGAAAATCTTTAAATGACTACAAACCAAAACAACTTAACTTACAAAAAAACCACGGTGTGTATTTGTATACATAAAAAATCTTAAATATACAATGCAACAGAGCAACTCTACAATCCAACACGCAAGTTTCTTGCTCCTTCTCCTTGTGATGAGTCTGCTTTCCGAATGAGTGGCAGATTATAAAAATACTATTCTAGAGACTATTAAAAAATCTTTATATTTAGTTTATTTGAATGCTGATTATTTCTATTTATTGGTGACTCTCCATTGGTGGTGTCTCCGCCTGCACTGACCCTGGTGAGACACCAGTAAGTGAAAATGAAGTCAGATCAGCTTGCAGCGCAATTAAGAATTTACCACAATAATTTCAGGTCAACCTGATAGGCTACATTAATAACAATGGAGTCACTCGTTCCATTATCAACAATTCCCTTCTCTCCACCTTAAAAATATTTACCTCGTACAAAAGAACTCAAAGATCTCGTTCTGAATTAGATAATTGTATTTTTGTTCTCCGGATGGAGAAGAAGCAACAGGTACCAAATTGTGAGGGTCATTTCCTAAACCGAGTACACTAACTAAACAAAATACTTGATAAAAATAAATCTTGATGAAAATAAATAAATATTATTTTTTTCTATTTTGATATGTACTATTTTAATTCATTTTTACTTTACTTTTTACTATATATTGCACATGACGGGTTGCCAATTCTACGAGGTTCTTTATAGTTTTAAAACTTAAAACTATATAGAACCACGTAGAATTGGCAACCCTGGATCATTGATTAAAACCGAGGACAGTGACCGCAATTCAGGTCTAGACAAAGTTACAAATGCAAAATAAAGTCATCTTCACGCCAAATCATGTACGGGGTTAGCAGATTGAACCATGTACTAAAGGCTCTTACAAAATAAAACTGCGTATCGTCTCGAAGGTAATTTTTAGTAGGGTTGTCAGAGATTTAATTAATTTCTATAACCCGGTATATAGGTATTCTTATAATTTGCAGGTCTGCGATGGTAAATATTGCTGATTCATAATGTTTTACAGAACAACTTATTCATATATTCTATAATTTTACAGACGCTCGACTTGAAAGAATAGATACAGTAATAAAGAAGCGATATTTCCAACTGATTTAAAAAGAACTAGAAGTTCTCAACTCGACTATGTTTCTTTTTATTTTAAGGATTTTTCATACATATACAGATTTTTATGATTATTTTTTTATTTGAAAGCTGGTGCTTCTTTTGCAAATTTATTAAATTCAGATGAGTAGTTTTTAAAGTATGTTTAACACTGCGTTTGTTATCCGTTGTTTTGTACCCTGTACACGCTATCCATGACGTATATTTCGGCCTTAAAACAATAGCTGAAACAAATTACAGAAATGTACATTGACAGAAGTAATATATCAAATTAAATATAACGACGTATTTCAAATGTGGATGGATGGAGTGGATAAAATAATATATTATAATTAAGTTATTCTCATTGTAGATATAGATACTTATTCACAACTCTTGCATTTTACTTCTAAATAATATAAAGTAAAGTCGGTTAATTTTATCTATTTATTTATCGGCATCCATCTAAACCACTTGTATATTATAGCGCAGAAAAGTCGAGTAGGTCAAAGATATGTAGTAACGTTATAAGACTGACTGGTATTGGTATATTTTGATTATCATAAGTTAAAAATACTTACAAGAATTGCTATTATCATTATTTCCTTTCCCATCATTAGGCTTGGCAGTAACAACAAAGCACGAACTACCTCTTTTCTTATTTATTTATTTAAATAACTTTAATGCACGTAATTTTAAAGCTTACCTTACGTGCATTAAAGTTATTTAAACCTTTAGCTTAACACCATACATAAATACATATCTAAATAATCTGACAATTTGTGGCTGCGCTCATGCGCAGCCACAAATTATGGAAGAAAAGTATATAAAAAAAAGTAAAAAAAAAACAATGGAAGCAAGATAGTACACAGAAGAAAGATTACAATCTACATCAGTCATTTTATTTCCATCCATAATTATAATCCGTACTATTATATCACGTTTTAAGTAAGCTTGTATATAAATAAATTTGATTGCGACTATTTTATGTAATCGATTACGAAATGAGCTGACTGATCCGTAATTGTAATTGAACTGTCACAGCATATTCTCAGTGTTGGTCATGTTGCCATCCAATAATGTAATATTATAACGTTATGTAGTGTTTAATGTAACTAGTAATATGCACGTATATTGCTAGTTGTCGATTTTCTCCTTTCGTTTTTCTAATTGTAGTTTGTCATTTTTTTGCACCAGTTATTACACACTCCTATGCCACTGTTTCGAGTGATCTCTTCTAGGGAAAAGTCCACCTTTACTCATATTGTCTCAAAATTATATTATCAATGTATTATCTGTGCAATAATTAATATATATTGTTTACCGAAATTCGTTACGATTATAAATAGAGGGAGATCTCGTAATAAAATTATTTGTTTCGTTTCTTCTATTTTTTACATTTCTATTTATTTCTAATTTTGTACATTTATCGTCCAACAAATTAGACATTGTGAAAAACAATCCTAAGAGCTCTTGTGCATTTACCTCATTCACACTACTATAATTATCTATATATGGTAAAATATATATAGATAATATATATAAAATATATAGATAATTATAATCGAATAGTTGTTTGGTCGATCCCAAGTCATCGACCCGGAACCTCGACAGCCTTGCAATTACTCTATTTTCAATACAAGATAGTGCGAATTGGGTTCGTAACGAAATCCAATAAAGAAAACTGCTAGAATCCTCCGTAACTGCTAAATGTTTCTCCAAATAACATTATGAGTTTCTCCATCCCAAATGTTATATAGATCAGATTTGTTGATAATAATTTAAACAGTTAAATTAGAAAATTCAAAGGAATAAATTAATTTACTTTATTATTATTTTTATACTACCGTGCGAACACAAATAAATGAGATAAGGAAGAAGTAAATGATGATGATGATTGTGGCAATCTAGCATACAGTTTGATGGTAAACGCTTAACGTATTCTAGCTGAAAGAGGAGTTACACATAAAAAAAATAGCTTGTGTTCTGCGTGAGCAATGTATTTTTTTATGACAAAAGCAATGGCTCCCACGGGAAATTATCTCACGAAACTTTGTCGACGTAAATATTTGACCTGATCTCCGCAAACAACGCTAAAACTACGCGTTTTAATTGAATATGCATTGCTATAGTGAGAATTCATAAGGGATTAGTGTACTTACTATTTTATCTAATATATAGAAATCTCATGTCGCGGTGTTTGTTACCAAACTCCTCCGAAACGGCTTTCCGATTTTTATAAAATTTTATGTGGATATCGGATAGGTCTGAGAATCGGCCATCATATATTTTTCATACCTCTAAATATTCTTTATATTTTATTTATTTATTTATTCATTTATTTCAGGCAACTATATTTTACAAAATAAAATAAAAATAAGAAAGTTGTCTCTAAAATCACTAAGGAGCAGGACATTCTCGATTATATTCGTACCAAGAGTAACCTGACATTGAGGGTGACGCAGCTGAAGTCGAGTCACAACGCGAGTTTTAAAGCGTTTGTGGCCCTGGTCCCCACCGACTTGCTGCCCACCTTCATGAAAGAGGACTACTGGCCGAAAGGTGTGGTGTATCGGCGCTACCGTGGCAGATTGCCGTCTTCAGTGCCGTGATCACACAGACAATATTTTTGTATTAGTTTTTAAATATTATATTATATGTATGTTAGTCTATAAGGTATTTATAATATGGGCCTAGTTGCTCCTTAGTGATTTTAGAGACAACTTTCTTATTTTTATTTTATTTTGTAAAATATAAATAAATTGATCGATCCCTATTATTTTATAGCAATATAGCATATATATATAGTACTTCAATTAATATGGAAAAACAACGTTTACTGGGTCTAGATTTTATTATATAGATCAGTTAAATGAAAGACACTTGGACAATATATAAAATTATTCGTATACTTGCGTGAATACATTAAATCAGCCTTATTCCTTACTTTCAGAAGTATTATAATAGAATATCTCAAACGTAGGAGCCCCGTCGAGTCAAGCCTATTACTACCGTAATTGGATTTTATGTTTTATTAAATTTACAGCAGCAAAGAGCGACGACGTATATAGCTGGTATTTTGTACTTTAAAAAATTCTAATTTTTATCTCGGATGTTAAATATTTTCTTACTTTATTTATTACACATATAAATAAAATTGGAGTGTCTGTTTATATTGAAATAACCGTTTTTTACTACATGCATATGAATATTAATACACCAAAATAATATTTTTTACAATTTTTGTCTCTCTCTCTCTGTTTGTTCCGGCTAATCTCTTCTTAATTTTGACGGCCCTTTTTTTGGCAGGTAGCTGATCTAATAAGAAGCAACTTAGGCTACTTTTATTTTAGAAAAAAAAAAGTTAAATTCCACAAGGACGAAGTCGCGGGAACAGCTAGTAGTAAATAATAATAAGAAAATATTTAACATCCGAGATAAAAATTTGAATTTATTGCCCGCTGCATGCGGTCACCCCCATGCAATTTGTAGTAGGTATGTGTTATTCTGATGTATAAGCTGTAAAGTTTCATCTGAATCCGTTCAGTAGTTTCTGAGTGAAAGAGTAATACGCATAAGAGTAAACAAATATTCCATTCATCTTTCCATCCAAACTCACAAACTTTCGCGTTTATAATATAATTTTAATAAGAAAATGTTTTATAGCTCTGGATACAAATCCTTTTAATCCCATTCTTAAGAAAACACTGAACTGTCGTCCAAAAGTCAAAACTTGCCAGTATTCATGACGCAAATGTAAATTTTAGAATAGAATAGAATAGAAAGCCATTTATTCAAATAAACTTACATTGAAGCACTTTTGAATAGTCACCATATTTTTTTTAATCTAACGCTCAAATTGAAACATGTCACATCACAAGAAGAACGAGCAAGAAACTTGCGTGTTGCTGTTTTAAATAATTTTATTGTTACTTTACATTTTTAAGTTTCAGTGTGTGAAAACAAAACTACTAGTAGTAACTTTATTAGTTTTGTATGAGGAAAATGTGCGTAGGTATAATTACTATCAATCCATTAACAACAAGCCTTATTTGAATTACAATCTAGGTGTGTCTGTCTGGTCACGCTATATACCAAACTAATTTATTTGGATCAACTGTTCGCCCATTGACCCCTGTCATATATTTTCACAATGTCAATGGGCTGATATAGTTACATACCAACCCTTTTTTTTTAACTTGGGGAAAATCCTCACGAAGACCCGCCCGCCCTGGGGGAGGTAGACGGATACGGCCGGACTCTCTCCGGCTAAAAACCATTGTTATTTAATTAATATATACAGATTATGTCTATTTGGTTTGTATTTATGTCTCGATAACAGCAAACATCTATTTATTAATTGAGAACATTTTTTGTTTAAATTCTTTGATATTGAATAGAATAGATAAAATCCTTTATTAAAATAAATTTAATTTAAGCACTTTTAAATAGTCATCACTTTTTTCAGTCACACAGTGTTGCTCTCTTAAATAATCTTTGTAACTTTACATTTTTAAGTCGAAACGTGTGAATACTAATTTATAAGGGTAAAATGTAAATACACAATAAGATTAAATCAGTTGTAGTGATTAGAGAAGACCAGTCGCTACAAGCAGCACTCATTCACGAGTATGACGTAGGATTAAAATAATAGAGTATTATTATTTTAAAACTAAATTAAATCGTCATAGTTATTATAAATCAGTATTGTTCCAAGGGTCCTAATAAAAGAAAGATTTAGTCTACTATTATTGCAGTGGTCAAGCGGCTTTGTGTAAGTTTTTATTTCAGGTCTTTCTTCTCTAACTATCTATTCCATCTATCTTTATACTTAAAATACATTACTTATACTTAATTTAGAACCAAGAACCTTATTTGAACGCTTAAACTTATCTGTTATATTAAGTTTTTACTACTTACTAGTAGTAAAAAACTTAATATAACAAATATTTTTAACAAAGCATTCGACATAGTTCGCCGCAAGAAAACCGCAATAAAAACACTTATTTTATTTCACTCTTCGACTAGCTAATGCTGGAGTTATGTAGTAAAAACATGTTGTTTTTGCAACAAAAATGTGAATAAGAAAAAATGGATAACGTCCAATCCGTTCGGTAGGTATATTGGATTTTTTCAAGGACGCATTTTAGGACCTGTACTATTTACGCAGTAAGTAAAGCCTTTTGTTGACGTCAATGTTGCATTTACAGATCATGATAACGCGCTTTTAGTGGCGAGTTATCTACGATGAAGTTTGACATATTACAATGTCAGCCATGCTATTGATAACTTTACAATAACTATAACTATTGATAACATATTAGAGAGATGTATTTTTGTGACTATATTATTATTACTTAAGCATCATAGCAATCGGTCCCGAATTAGAAAATACAGGTCTTTCCCTTTGGAATATTTATTACTGTATTAACCACATAAATACAAATGTTTGCTGTTTAGAACAACCCTGCTACGCTTGCTGAAATGCTAGCAAGTCACTACAAGTACTAGTTAACTCCAATACAAGTCTGTACAATATTCTCTGTAATTCTGAGTCTGGTTATCAAGATAGCCTTTATAAAAAGTTGTCTGCATACACCTCAGTCTCACCTAATTCAGTCGCCGAACTGCTTGCATTGTAAGCTATTTCGGCTGGATAATGAGATAAGGTAGTGTAAATATAGAATGTGGTAGCATAACATCTTAGTCCACTTAAATGAACTTGAGTGGTATCACGATCGTCATCTGATAACGTGATGTCAATGGTGCTGTTCATGTATATAGGCGACGGCTACCACCAGGTAGGTGGTGAGTTTTAGCTGAGATGAGACACAACACATTTGATATTGCGGGGTAATAATAACTATGTTGTCTGTTAAGACGATGTATATTACAGATGAAAATAGACTGACAAATGTACGTAAAAATATTGTTCTTATATACTAGATAACAATAGGAAAATGTAAGGTGGGGTGACACAGTTTAGACACAACAGTGCTTAGTAGACAATGTTGAGTTTGTCTTACTAATCATAATAAATTGCAATTATTATATTATACAAGATACATCATCTTAGTAACTGAGTCACATATTTGACATGCGAACCATCTAGCTAGTTTAACATCCAGTTACATAAAAAATATATTTGCAGGCACTACAAATCCATTTGCAGCCAGACGAGGGAGACATTTTAATATTCATGCCCGGACAAGAAGACATCGAGGTCACTTGCGAGGTAAATATTTATTCAAGCCTTATTATACAATTAAATGTACTATTAAATGTAGATTTTATGCTATAGTTATTGTCTAGACTTCATCCTTTGGGGAGTAATGAACAATCTTCTTTTCCTATAGTGCTTCCCATTAATTGATAATAATAAAAATAACCCAGGAAAAATAATTCAAATTCATAATTTATACAGCGACATCTAGTGCCAAGCAAAGCAGAGCTTCTGTTATGGGTTCTAGAGAACTGATAGCTATACTTTTTTTTTTAATTTCATACATAATATTGGTACACAGAAAGTCTAGACCCTGGGAAAGGATATAGGTTACATTTGAATGCGATAAAGGGTTGTAAGGGGCTTGAAACTTTTTAAGCTATTGAGGCTGTTGATTAAATATAAATAAATATACCATTCAAAGTGTGTAAAAATCTCACCCTTAAGGGGGTAATAAAATGAAAGATTACAGTTGTATGGAAATTCATTTTTGAAGCTAAAACGATGCCATACATGTCTTATTTGTAAAATAATTAAAAATGCAATATAATATATGTAATGTTTACGTTATTTTTTTTTTCGAACTACTCTAATACTGTTGGCCGCAACTGGCCTTTATAATTTCACCGGACTATAGAGAGCGAGTGCAGATGGGCAATTCCAAACCTGGAAAGACTAATGGAGCGGCTGAAGGCAAACTCCCGCCTGACGGATACGATATTAGTCTGTGGGAACTGCTAGGGGTTCGAACCTCGGCTCATGCCGTCGTAATTTCGATCGTTTGAATTGGACGGGGGATCGTTCGGAGGGGGTTAAAAATGCTATCCAAGTAGCTAGTAATCTAGCTAGTAGCTAGTAATCTTACACGGCTAGTTTTTTTTTACTTACTTACTTTAACATATATAGTGTTTCCGTGATCATGGCGGTTGAAACACTGCCGAAATATCGGGAACTTTTTAAAAATAAAACGTGGTAAGATCCCGGGATTTACTAATATATTTAAATATATGTTAAAGTAAATAAGTAAACTAAAGAGCAGCGGGTATGGTAAATAAATCTTTTATGGGCAGAGATATTCGTCTTCTTCACACGTCTTCATTTGTTGCTACTATTGGAATATTGGGAACTCAATAAAAATAAAACGTGGTTTGATTTACTAATTATAGGTATAAATACTGGCAGCGTCAAATTTAAAACAATGTATTTAAATTTCCGCAGGTGTTGACTGAGAGATTAGAAGATCTTGACCACGCGCCACCGCTCACAGTTCTGCCCATATACTCGCAGCTGCCGGCCGATTTGCAAGCCAAGATCTTCCAGCGTGCACCGCCAGGCCAAAGGAAATGCATCGTCGCTACCAACATCGCTGGTATAATACCTATATTTTTACTAATAATAAATAAATAACGAAATTACTCGAGGAACTATATCTGCATCTACATTTTTGCAACATTTTTCATTACTATTGATCGTAGCATGATTTTATATACCCTACAGTTTTCTCGATAAATTGGCTGTAAAATACATTATATACAATAAATAAATTTTTCAAAATCAGATCAACATTACTGGAGATTGAACATAACCATTTCTAATATTAAATTAATAATATAACTAATATGCCATTACCTACATACTAATGATAGTGGAAATAAACAAAACTATATCAATCCATTAATTAATGTAAATAAATATTAATGAAATGGACTTCCGCAAAATAACACCTAACTCAATACAGCATCGGGTAAATTTTATCGAATTAGTGCTATTTTGCGGAAGTCCATTTTATTACTAAACATAATATAATTATCAGGACAACTCACACAGCGCCATCTAGTCCCAAGCTAAGCGTAGCTTGTGTTATGGGTACAACTGATATAAAAACATAGATACATTTTCTTTTGTAAATACATACATGAATGAGTAATCAAACTCGCAAATAGCCAATATTATAAGGAGTAACATAGACTACTTTTATTTTAGAAAATATGATAATTTTCATTAAAGAAAAATTTCCATCCATCCATCCATTCCAAGAAAATATACATTATCTATGTAATACTTTTTTATTTGTAAATACATACTTAATATACATAGAAAACACCCAGATACAAAAATCATATTAATGAATACAAATGTTTGTAATATCAGAAGTTAGCTCCTGGCGGCGAGTTTACTAGATGGTTTCTAATATGTTGTTCTCGTGTTTTCAGAGACATCGTTGACTGTCGACGGTATAATGTACGTGATCGATTGCGGCTACTGTAAACTGAAAGTTTATAATCCGAGGATCGGCATGGACGCACTGCAGGTAACGTAGAAATAATTATAATTTTCAAACGTTTTATTATTAATTAACTTGAGTCCTAAAAGTTTCAATTGATACTTATATATACTGCTCCTTCCTTATCCCATTTATTTGTGGTCTGCGTAATTTGTTTTTCCATTCCATTTATCTCTCTCTGTTCGCAGTCATCTCGTTATGGTCTCAATTTCTTACTCTCTTTCTTACTCTGCCCTTATAACCATCCACATTCATATGTAACACCTTCCTAAAAATATTGTCGTTGGTATAAAAAATCAAATAAATAAATACAGAACACACACACATACAGTAGGCAAATAAATTTATATTCTGTTTTTATTCTATCTAAAAGGAACTTAATAAATGTTAAAAATGGTATGTACAAATTAAAGTAACTAAATAACTAGTTAAGAACTAATGTAATAGTTAGTTCTAATTTAAACTTAGACTAACTTAAGAACTCGTGCCATACTTGGGGATTGGTTTTTTGTTATTTCTTTTTAGCAATCACATAAATTGGCAGGTAACCCAGTGAGGTGCGGGCCGCGCGGGCGCACAGGTCCCTTGACTTGCCTTCTAGATATGCTCAAGTCTTTGACTTGACTTCTAGACTTACCAATTCGCGGTCTCCACTCTAGAACACGTTTACGTTTATTCACAAATATGAAGAGCTGTGTCGGTGACCTTCGTTCTCTGGCGAATTAATTCATTTCGGATTTGATCCCTCAGAGACACTCCAAGCATACTTTCCATAGCCCGTTAAGCGACTTTGTGATAATGGACTAATCGTATCGTCAATGTCCACGTTTCTTGTGGTTATGTAACTTTCAGCAATATTAACTTATAGCAATCACAAAAATTGACAGATATACCCAGTGAGTCAGGCTAACGCGCGGCAGCGTGCGGGCCGCGCGGGCCGCACGGGCCCCGGCAAGGCGTTCTGCCTGTACACGCAGCGACAGTACCAGCACGAGCTGCTAGCGGCCACCGTGCCAGAGATACAGCGCACCAACCTCGCCAACACCGTGCTGCTGCTCAAATCACTAGGTGTTGAGGATCTGCTCGCGTTCCACTTCATGGATCCACCGCCACAGGTAACCTGGTCAAGACCTACATATAATAATTAACTGGAAAGATAAAGTAAGAAATGAAGAAATATTGCACAGGGTGAAAGAAAAAAGGCAGATATTGAATACTATAGAATGCTTGCTCGTTCTTGTGATGAGTCTGCGTTCCAAATGAGATTAGTAGAATAAAAAAATGTAACAATTCAAAAGTGCGTATATTAAGTTTATTTGAATAAAAATTATTTCTATTTAAAAAAAAGTGCTGTAATTTTTTATCTTTATCTTTAATTAAAATAGCTGTAATATTAAAATTCCTATTTACCCAGGACACGATCCTGAACTCGATGTACCAGCTGTGGATCCTGGGCGCCCTGGACGGGACCGGAGCCCTAACGTCGTTAGGTCGTCAGATGGCGGAGTTCCCCCTCGACCCTCCTCAGTGCCACATGCTGATCGTCTCCGCAGAGATGGGCTGCAGCGCTGAAGTCCTCATCATTGGTAAGAACTGACTGGTACACTATATATCTGGATAAGGGGAGTTGCAATACTACTCATAAATACAAACATTTGTATACTATTATTATTGCATATGACGGTCTCGGTGGTCTAACGGTTTATAACACCGCTTTACTTTTGCTTTCCGATGGTCGCGGGTTCGATTACTCGGTCGGTACGAACATTTTGTATTCATTATTTGGGTGTTTTGTATATATATCATGTATGCATTTTACAAAAAACAAAGTATCTGTTTAATAATGATTATATCAGTTATTTAGCATATATCAGACAAGCTCTGCTTACCTTGAGACTAAATGGTGCTGTGTGCATTATCGAAGAATATTATTATGTTAATTAGATATTATAATAAATTCATTTTTCAATATTCGATTCAAATTTTAATTGATTATATTGTTTAAAATATTATTAAAATAAATCATAAATGTATTTAAATTCTATATAGTTTTAATTTTAATGTTATAATTGTCCCTACAGTTTTACAATTGTTTTTATTAGTAACATTGTCATGTACCAATAACTGAAATGTATATATAAATATTACAGTGTCAATGTTGTCCGTGCCATCGGTGTTCTACCGGCCGCAAGGTCGTGAGGAAGAAGCCGACTCGGTCAAGGAGAAGTTCCAAGTGCCGGAGTCTGATCATCTCACGCTGCTACATCTATACAACCAATGGAAGTCCAACAAGTTAGTATCTGTTACCAGACCAACCGTTGGCTATCGTGCCCCACTAAAACAGTTTTCAGTGACTACAACGCCATCTAGTATTCGAGTGAGATAACGACCACGACATATTTTTATACCTATAAGCTTGAAGTTTACATATAAACAGTAAATATTATTATTATAATATAAAATGTATGTTCTTGAAGTTTAATATAAGATATAATCGAAGTTTCGATTTGACCATATCGTTCGTTCTACCTACCTACTGTTTAAATACAGCCACGATATTGTATACACAGTCCAATGCGGTGTAAACGCTTGAAGTGCAATATTTTGAGGTTAAAACCATATAATTAGCCTAAATAAATAATTAAACATGCAACCAAAGGATACTATTCCACGCGGACAATGTCGCGGGCACTGCTAATACACAATAAGATTAAATGTTTTGTACTATACATTGAAGTATTACAAATAAACACGATGAATTGTTTGTCAGGTACTCAACGCAGTGGTGTACGGAGCACTTCGTGCACGGGAAGGCGATGCGGAAGGTGCGCGAGGTGCGGCAACAGCTCCGCGACATCATGCAGCAGCAGCGGCTACCACTAGTCTCCTGCGGCACGCACTGGGACACCGTCAGGAAGTGCATTTGTTCCGGTCAGTAGCTTTTTTTTTTCAGGAAAATTCGCACAGCGCCGTTGAGTCCCAAGCTGAAGAGAGCTTGTGTTATGGGTACTAGCCAGCAAACTTAATATAGTAGAGCGCACCTCCGCAACGCAATAAGCAAAAGTAACTTTGATATTTCTTTCTATATCCTCAACATAAGTTTGGTCTTTTGAGGCGGATCTTAATGTACCGGACTCCACCACGTACAATGGTACACACCAGGAAAGGGAAGACGGATTTACCGAATCTTCTTTTTTTGTACATTTTTTTCTCAGGACAACTCACATAGCGCTATTTAGTCTCAAGCTGAACAGAGTTTCAGTTATGGGTACTAGACAACTCATATAAATACATAGATTTTTTTGTAAATATATACGTAATATAGATAACACCCAGAACGATGCCAACAAAATATATCATACCCGTTACATAGTAATTTACAAACGACCTCGGTGGTCTAGCGGTTTAGCACGCAGCCTTACTTGCGATGGTCGCGGGTTCGATTCCTCGCAGGGCACAAACATTTGTATTCATGAGTATGATTTTTTATATCGGTCTGGGTATTTTCTACATATGTATCGAGTATACATTTCCGAAAAAAAATCTATGTATTTATAACACAAGCTCTGCTTAGCTTGAGACTAGATGACGCTGTGTGACTTGTCCAGGATTATTATTATTTATTTCTTTCTTTCTTTCATTCTTTAAGAAATGGCCATCGCTCCTCGCATAGCATATATATGTCATACCAATGACTTTTTATAGTCTAGTTCTGGTAAATGTAACGGGTATGATGAAAGAAAGAACTAAAAAATTTGTCATTCAACAGCATACTTCCAGCAAGCAGCTCGTCTCAAAGGCATCGGTGAATACGTGAACTGCCGTACGGGTATGCCGTGCCACCTGCACCCCACGTCAGCTCTGTTCGGGCTGGGCTCCTCGCCCGACTACGTGGTGTACCACGAGCTGATGATGACCTCCAAGGAGTACATGCACTGCGTCACGGCGGTCGACGGACGCTGGCTCGCCGAGCTGGGGCCTATGTTCTTCTCCTTGAAGGAAACTGGGAAGTGAGTACTTATAACAGTAATAATTTTTATCCGCAACAATTATTCTATTACATGAGGTGAGATAAGAAAATAGAATAGAAAATAATTTATCCGAATAAATTTAAATTTAAGCACTTTTGAATAGTCATAGATATTGTTTTTACAACTACCGATCATTCGGAAAGTTAAATAATTGTTGCAATTTTAAATTTTTAAGTTGAAATCTGTGAATTCAAACTACCACGAATTTATTAGTGTCGATATATTTAATACATAATAAAATTAAATGAGTCGTAGTGATTAGAGCAGACCAGTCTCTACAAGCACTACTAATTCACGAGTATGACGGATGAGCCAGCCATCACTACAAATAAATCATCATTGCCTTGCCTTTATTATATATATTATTTGTGGTCGACGCTGTATGTCATACTGATCCCTATCGGGCGGCTGTATATCTGAACTCACTCTTCTTTCTATATCTTTCAGACAATTCATCCATCTTTTTTTTTAAATGTATCTCTATCTATATGTCGGTATGTAGTATCCTAAACACAAGATTTGCTCAGCTTGGGACTAGATGGGGCTGTGTGAATTGTCCTAAGATATTTAAATATAAAAACTATACTTTTAAGTCAAAATACAGTGTATGTTACTGGCTAAATGTAGACTTTTAAAACGGTCTATTATTTTAGGAGTTTAATCTTTACAAGTTAGAAATAAATTATTATCTCTTTATAATATTATCATTAAAGTAACCAATTCATTATATGGCAGATCAAACCGCGACAAACGCAAAGAAGCCGCGGTGCACCTACAAAGAATGGAGGAAGAGATGAAGCAAGCAGAACAGAAGATGGCAGAAGAGCGCCGCAAGCGTGACGAAGAAGTACCTTTGAAGCAGACTGTGGCCACACCAGGCCTCAATACGCCGAAGCACACTCCGCAACGGCTAGGACTTTGAATTTCCACTTTTTATCATAACTAACAACCACATTGTGGAATCACCTTCCATCAATGGTATTTCCGAACGGATACAATATCGAAACCTTTAAGAAAATAGCTTATTCCTTCTTAAAAAACCGCCAACGCACTCGAAATGCCCCTGGTGTTGCGGGTGCTCATGAGCGGCGGTAATCACTTACCATCAGGTGAGCCGCAAGCTCGTCTGTCCTCTCTCCTATAAAAATCAATCAATCCATAATTTTGTCACGTAATCAAACTTTCAGAGCTTCCAACAAGAGGATATTTTTTTGTAGATGATCATGGAATGGTAATAATATACGATGAGATGAGGTTGAAGGAGGGTCCGTGTAGAGGTCGACCTGTACGACATTCTTCCTCAATTTTTGTGTTCAGGAATTTGTTGTTTTTAAATTCGAAACAATAATGTTTACAAATATCACAAAAATTGATATTAATACTTTCTATAATTGTATGGTTTTTAATAATTATATGTTTTACGTCTAAGCAAACAGAATAGCCTATGTGTAATTAAAATAAGGTATATTTTTGATTGAATAAAGTTCGTTGACATTAGTTAAAATAAATTCTTTAATGTTTAATTTCTCATATTGTTCAATGTTCTCAGTGGACATGAAATCAAATTGTAACCCCGTCGGGGTAAAGTAAGTGTATATTACGTTAAGTATGTACAGTCATCAGCAATAAATAATTATTAGAGTTTAAAATTTTATTTAATAAACCTTATCTATTCAAATAATGGATATGAAATGTCCGTTTGTAATTTCTAATTAATAACTTTTACTTAATATATATTAAAGTATATACTATACTTACATAAGTATGTTTATTCTTGCCATCTCTGAAACGGCTAGACCAATTTTGATGGGACTTTCACTCGCAGTTAGCTAATATTAGAAGGAGTTAAATTCCCTCTAATTCTGCTAATCCGATTTTTTAAATTCTTTATTATATAGCTATATAACATCACACCACGACCAATACCACGGAGCAGAATAGAAATGAAAAATGTGGTAAAAAATATTCAATTTAACGCTGCGTACGCTGAGTAAACGGTTAACATTCCGTAGAAAAGTTTTACAACGGACTGAATTGTTCTCCTTTAAAAGTTCTAAAACAAAGTCCGCGACAACATATGTCTGTCTATTAAGATACTCACAATAACCCTTTTTATGGTAATCAAATTTGTTAAAAAATAATGCATTATTTAGAAAGGTTTTTCTTTATACATTTATAAATATCACATATCATATTAATCCTTATCCAAATAAATATATTATAAGTATTTAAATTTGAACAAAATAGTCCTTTATATCATTTGATTTTAATGAACACTAGATATCTATCTTATAATGAAAGAGTAACCTCAAATATTGGGCCCGTGCGAAGCCGGGTGCCGCCGGGTGTTGTCCAACTGATATAAATCAATATAATATTCTGTGACTATACCGGTGGCTTGTTATTTGCTCGTCTCGTCCTGATCTCCTTCCTTCACACCGGAGCTGTTTGCTAGTGTATTATATGTAGAGAAGTATGAAATTAAACAACATTTTGTGAAACAAGAGTTTTATTTAATAATGATCTTCATCAAATAATAATAAAATTAACTGAACAGCTATCTACAGGAAGCCGTTTGGCAGTATCACTACACGTTTATGTCGCCAGTACATACTACATGTATTTCTAATATAACACAATTTCAAATATCTTCAATCAGTTCTACATTGAGAAAGTATTATAACTAAAGTTAGGTACTGTTCATTGTTACACTAGAGTCAGACTTTTGTTTGAGTCAAGGTTTTAAAGCGAAATTGTATTTCTACCACTCAGCTATATAGCAAGAACATGTCGGGAGAGAACTTAGTTCTGAAAAAAAAAATATAAATAATCTCAGGACAATAATGTCAATTTTTAAGGATTATGTTAATTTAAAATTTTCGGTAATTACAATTTTTTATAGGATATAGTAAACGACATGTATCCAGAGCCGTAAAACGTAGGAAATAAAGGTTTAAAAAGGTTAAAGCCAATGTTAACAGTTGTTTGTCAAATTTGTGGATAAAATCTACTACTACTATTAGTCATGACTCTGGACGCAATTTTGTATTACTTTTAATACATGAAACAGTACTTTCTTGACTTTTTTCTTACTCTGGATTGCAGGAACAAATAGTTTACCTTTTATTTCATCTTTCATATCATTATCATACTTGTTTTAATTTTTTTAATTGAAATAGTAGCTGATAGCGTTACTACCCTGCCTAAGAGTAGTCTCTTAGCCATGGCATTTTTTTATATTTATAATATCCCAAATTCAGTGTTTTTCAATTTTTAATTAAGATAAATACAACAAATAAAAGTTGCTGACTCAATATATGAACAGAATAAATAAATATAAACATCGCTAATGTGGTACATGCCACTACAGTATGTCGGTCTGTGTAACAACTTATAGATTTTTAAATACGATATTTACAATTTAATTCGTTTCTAATCAATAGAGCTATAACACTGAAATATTATAGTCATAAAAATTACATTTTTGAATGTCAACTGAAACCCAATCGTAGTGTGATCGCCATGTGAAGTTGTATATACAATTTCAGTTAGACTTCAAGAGTAACTTTCTGAATTAATAAATATTTACGACTGAAGTTCACTTACATTCTGTTTAAGGTTATGTGAACAATTACTCAACTTTCTTTGTCATCAAAAATGACATTTTAATTATTACAATAATAACAATGAGTTAAGTGGAAACGCTATTGGGCAATCCTACCAGTGAATTGTCATAAACCTAATACCAAATTATTTTTAGTGATTTCCAAAAACATAAAACAAACATAAATTGCTTTGAAAGTACCAATAAACCAAAAAACAGTGTATATACTAAAGACATTCGAGAGTAAGAAGCTTAAAATCCATAAATATGAAGTATGAACTTTCAGATGTTTTCCATCTCGCTTACACACCATTGAGTTGAATTGAGTCTGATAGAGATGTCAAATGTTACTAACGTTAATAAAACGTGCCTCATACATTTCATTTTAAGCTTCTTCTTCTCACACTGTATAGCTACTAAATTTCCACCATTATTATACAATATAAATAGTGCAATAATTTACACTTGAGACCATAGACAATATATTTAACAGATTACAAACTTTTTTTTACTTGGTAACAGGTGCGTGATTTTTTAAATATATTTATTAAAAAATAATTTACTAAACATCTTCAATGATCTTTTCTTAAAATTCTCTTCTTTCTGTCTTAGAATTAACAAGAAATATTTCACGTTAGTATACTTTTTAAAACTAGATTGTTAATTAGTATGTTTATAGTTAAAGTCATAAATTCTCATTCTAATCGCATTTGTGAATTTGTAACATCATATAGTAACTTTTATTATGCTAATATAATTCTTTAACTCCAATTTAATATTCTTGATAGAATATCATGTTCGCGCATGCCTCTTGTAGACTAGATACATTACGACAAAATATAACAAATGTATTATAATATAAATGAGCAATATGAATTGCCGTCATCCTTAATTTACTGCATTGATATAAGCATATACACAAATAATAATTTTAAGACTATTAAAAATAATTAAAAATAGATATAAAAAATAGTAAATATTTATGAGAAATACACTTGTAATATATGAAAATAATATTTAATAGACGTTTCAAGTAATATCTATAATATATAATATATGTACAAACTCTAGATTGACGGATTTTATTCTTCATACAAAAATCAAACGTCTAATAATAAAGCATATTAAACTTTGTTGTCCCTTTCTTTCAACCTTATTTTCTTCATTCGATAGAAAGAGACAAAACGCTCTAATAGTTAATAAAGTTTGTAGATTATTCAATATTAAAAAGTTGTAATGGGTTTTATAAGTGTAATTTAATTATAGATAAGAAAATTTCAAAGTTTTTAATATAAATGTAATTACAGTTTTATGTATATAATTTCAACTAGAGACCCAGTTTGCTGCGACGGTTATGAGTTCAGGTCTAAAACATCATTTTTTAATCTGCCGAGTTGTAGACTCAAATATGATATTACATAAAACTAAATTCTTGTAATAGTCATCGAACCCGATGTTACAATAATTTGGTCTATATGAGTTAGTGTTACGTACTTACGGAATCATCAAAGAGTTTGTAACTTAACATCTTAATAATAATATAAACGCAAAAGTTTGTATGAATGGATGTTACTCTTTCACGCAAAAACTACTGAACGGATTATGATGAAACTACATTAATATAGCTTATACATCAGAATAACATATAGCCTATAAATTGCACGGGTGTGAAACCGCGGGCCCAGCTAGTATTAAAATGAATTTGTAAACAGTACAAGTCCGAGTGGTGTTTAAATTTTATCTTTTAATACATTATTAATAATTTTCGAATATATATATTTACTATTTTATATACAATATCCTAACTAGCCATCCTTATTAAGGATTCATTTTGAAGTCAGATTTGACATACTTCGCGTCATTCTTAGTATGTTCTCTCAATATCTATGTCATAAACTTGAGTCTCGATGTACTACAAAAATATACGTGTATTATAAATATATACATATATGGGGTAGGTTCACATATGGAAGTGACAAGACGGATTTTCCATTGAATAAAGAAATTTAATTTCAAGATTGTTTTTATGAAATAGATATGGTAGGCAATCTAATGAGAACTGGTAACTATCGCCTAGACGAAAGCATCACAGAATACACTGTGACAGCGTGACGTACCTCTGAAATTTGCCTTTCTTGAGGTTATGTCCCCCATACTGCCATTTCTCAACCTTCTTTAACATATTAAAGACCGCATTGAAAAATCTCATTTCCATAGGGACCAGCATTTCTTTATTATTAATTACGTGAGTCTATCTCAAATTAATTAAGTCCGCTGTAGACAGTATCTCTTCGAGGGACCAGCGATTTAACTACTGTACATAAATTTAAATTTAAATCATGCCCACAGGTGCACAAGTGGTTCCCAGTTAAAACATGTCGTGTGCCCACCCGTGAGCACGCGGGCCGGTAATGATGTTTATTTATTTATTTAACTTTAATGCACACAAACAATATGTACATATGGCGGACTTAATACCTTGCGGTGTTATCTACCGGTCAACCATGAGGCGCAGAGAAAGATTGTTGGCGGTACACTAATATAAAAAAAGATATATAAATATAAAGCAAAATATTTATATATAAATTCCTATAAAAAATAGTTGTGGAGTGACCCACCGGTGAGCATGCGGTCTTTAACGTGTTAAGAGACTTATCTTTTCAACGAAATTAAATGACTCCAGATGTGAAAGTACCTACATAATGGAAAATAATCATATAAAAATAATTATCATCAATAAAATTACGAATTTGAAGCCGTTCATGCGAAGTTCAAGCCATGTTTATCAATATACCTCTGCCGGGCTTCGGCGATCATCTGGGCTTTCCTCTCCTGAAAACTGAGCTGTCGTTCTTTGGCACTCTTGGGGAACACCCCCGTGGGGGTCGGCGTCACGTAGCGGGGGGCGGGGGGCGCCGCGGGGGCCGACGTGGACGGCTCTGGCTCGTACGTGGTCACCCCTTCCAGGAAATTGGTGATAGTTACGTCCACACTGCCGGTTGTTGCTAAAGAAAAAAATATTTACATTGTAATGTATATTATAAACAGCTATTGCCCGCGGTTTCGCTCGAGTTAATTTATACCCTTAGGGGTGGAAGATGCCTATGTCATAATAGCTTTATGCATACAAAGACTCAGGCCGATCGGTTTAAAATTGACAAAGTTTCATACAAACTTTCATCCCCTTAGGAGTGGAATTCATCAAAATCCTTTCTTAGGGGATGCCTACATCATAGTAGCTTTATTCATGCAAAGTCTCAGCCCGATCGGTTTAAAATGGACAAAGTTTCATAGAAACTTTTACCCCCTATTTTATACCCTTGGGGGTAGAATTAATCAAATCCTTTTTTAGCGGATGCCTACGTCATAACATCTACTTGCATGCCAAATTTCAGCCCAATCCGACCAGTGGTTTGGGCTGTGTGTTGATAGATTACTATGTCAGTCACCTTTGAATTATATATATTTAGATGTATGTAAGAATTCTGAATTGAAGTTTATAAGTTCTAAGTTAGAACAACGTGACGTTCTCGGTGGTCTAGTGATTTAGCACGCCACACCGATGCAAACATTTAAATTCATAAGTATTGCATCGACCTGGGTGTTTTTACACAAAACAAAATGTATCTAAGCATTTATCACTTGTGTAGTGCCCATAACACAAGCTCTACTTAGCTTAGAACTAAATGGCGCTATTGGAATTGTCCAGCAGATTATTATTCAATTGTAATTCTTTTATTTCCTTGGACACTCGAATTTATAGAGAAGATAATGTTAGCTAGATAAAAATAGTCTTTTACATATTCTAAGCTATTTCCTTCGAATTCTATGATAGCTTCTATGGAGTTCTATAAAGAATTAATAAATTAATTAATTAAGTAATAATTGTATGCATATAACACCTACCGAGGTCCCTCAAGATGTCCGCCAGAGGTACTGCGGGCAATACTTCCTTGACCTGCCGCGCCTTCGCCTCCATCCCCAGGCCGGCTCGCAAGGTCCCCGCGCGGGGGGCGGGGGCGGCGGCGGGGGCGGCGGGGGAGGCGGCGGGGGCGGGGAGGGGGCGGCGGCGGGCGGCCTCCCCCGCCGCTCTCTTTGCGGCCTCCTTCACATCCTCCCAGTTGAATTCTGTCAGTTCCACCTGTAATTTTATTTGGACTGATTAGACTTTTCGCTTTTGCAACAGCATACGCTGGTGGTCAATCTATTCTTCCAAATTTGTATTTTAAAATGAATCTCTATTATTGTAAACATGTATAACATTTATTTGAAAAGAATATGAGCTGAGTTTCATGTCAGTTCGAAATCATTCCGAACTGACGGTAGATTTGACATATCATAAGAGTCTGTAATAGACCTACATGGATAGATATTTTGAATTGAATTTGAATTTGGAATAATAATAAAATAATAATACTGCTGTTACGTCAAACGATACTGCCTTTTGGCTATGCACACACACTATGTTACTCACACCGTTTTTTTATTTTTGTACCTATATTGTATTTTATCAGTATATTTGTATTGTATTTTGTTGACTGACCAATGTAATTGTGTATCTACTTTTAATTATTATTATTAATATTATAGTGCCTTGTGTGTCTTTAACGTAAATCAAATTTCTATCTATCTAAATACCCCGAGATCTGCAGCGATGGCCTCCCGCAGACGACGACTGTAGGCGCTGTCAGCATCAGAGCCGCGGTCGAGAGGTGGCAGCAAGTTCACACGGAACACCGTCACCGGCGACCACAGGAACCACAACGCGTCCGACCACGGGAACCTGTCACCACCGCCGCCGCCAGCCACCGTCACCGCTGTGTACATACGCTCCACCGCTGGAATGACATTTTTTTTTTCAGAGAAAAAATTGAAGGATTTTGGGGAAGAATAAGAATTTGGGGAAGGGTAAAAGTGAGACACACTTTATGCGTATAGTTAGTAAATTACGCAATGATCACGGGTAAACTGATTTACGGTTTATCAGTGATCATTGCGGTTGAAACACTGCCGAAATATCGGGTACTCAATAAAAATAAAACGTGGTAAGATCATATAATTTTACTAAGTATATGTATAAATAATGACTGCATCAAATTTAAAATAAGACACACTTATATCAAGCATATTGTGTGACGGTCTAGGTGGTCTAACGGTTTTGCTCACCGCTTTACTATCCGATGGTTGTGGGTTCGATTCCTTGCACGGTACAAACATTTGTATTCGTGAGTAAGATTGTTTATATCTACTTAGAACAAGATTTATTTAAAATTGCTTATATTAGGTTTATTTAAACAAAGATTATTTCTTTTCTATTCATAAAAAAAAAAACATATAATCATATTTGTGACTACAAATATTTCTATAGTGCGAGATTCGAACCCACAACCACAGTGAAGAAAGTGGTGTGGTAAACTACTAGACCAATCAGGCTGTCAATTGAGTCAACGTAAGAAGAATATAATAACTCACAGATGGTAACAGGTTGCACTCTATTGCCAATCTGGAAGGGCCAGTCCGTGAACTTGAGTAGCCCCTTGCCATTCGTAGGGCCACCCTCCGGCTGCAGCAGTATCGGCTTACTGGGAGAGTCCGCAAAATGTGCCCTGAAACAAGTTTGGGTATACAATCTGATGAGTGGGCTAAATACATGTTTTTTTTTATTTATTTATACTCTTTAGTCTATCAAATACAGAAAAAAGGTAGTATATATACATGAAATATACAAAAGGAGGTATTATCCTTTAGATGGATGGAGAAAAAGGATAAGTGGCAGGAAGGTGCTGAAGAAAAGTGTAAGGTCATACTAATATTATAAATGCAAGTGTTAATAATTTCAGTTAAGAGTTTAATAGTTTCAGAACTATACTGCTGAATGATGTTAATGAAATTTTATGTGAAGATAAACAGTATTACCAGGATGCACATAGGCTATATTTTATGTCAAAATTAATCTAAACGGGGCAGATAGCAGTATATTTTCCAATATATTTCAGTGTAAAGCTCGTAACATATAATTGGTTAATTATGCCCAAATTATTATTAATAACCCAGACTCATACTTAGCTAATAATATTTTAGTAATCTCTTTAATTAGTGCGGGACTGAAAATATATTTTATATTTTATGTTATCCTTTAAGATTATTTATGATAATGAAAATTATTTAATACATACTTTCTCACAAACTGTGCAGCATTCCTTATGCCCAATGTAGATGCAAAAAATGGTGGCACCTTCCATTTTCTCAACTGCAATAAATGTTACATAATAATTATGCTCTATTTCTAAACACCAAGCTATAATTTTGTAATAATATAACCTACTTTATTGCAATATTTATTCATTATTAAAATATAAGGACACTTTAGCAATGAATGAAAAGATAAACAAAAATTTTGGGATTTTCATCAATTTATCATATTATACACTTGTTGTTTTTTCAATTTTTGTCGGTATGCCTGTTTGTTCCGGCTAATCTCTGAAATGGCTGGACCGATTTTGATGAGACTTTTATTGGCAGGTAGCTGATGGAATAAAGAGTAACTTAGGCTACTTTTATTTTAGAAAAATTATTTTATTTTAGAATAATAAAGTTAAATTCCATGCGGACGAAGTCGCGAGCACAAGTAGTTATACATAAATAAACAAGTAATAATATTTAGTATACAATAATAAGGTTCACAGAGGCTTCACATAAGTTTAACTATAGAACAAGTTAAGTATAGAATATTTCCTGAATCTCTGTGACTGATATTTTATTACTCAATACTGTGACTTATAATTTTATGATATTAAGTACTTGCTTTGTATTCATATAAAGTAAAAAAATTTCACCAACAGAAAAATTAATTTTTGTAATATAATGTAGTATAACTGTTGATTTGATTTGATTTGATAACTTTTGTAACCAGAAAATATTTACACCAATTTCAGTTTCATAGATTTTAAAAAACATTCTAGATAAGAATGTATATTCTAGGATATTTAAAAAAAAATCTTTGAATAATGTGTTGAACTTTCTTCACAAGAGCTTGGCTGGCTATTCTAGTAATCTCAGCTCTACACACACAAAGGACCAGAAGAGAACCTAAATGTGAATAATAGAGTCCAAGTTACACACTGTTTTCTCAAACAAAGTATAAATTACTAAAGTAAACATTATACTTACACTTATTGTGCCCAGAACATGTGAAGCCGCAAGTGAGTCCAGGCATGACACATAATTGGAGACAAGCACACTACAACGTGGGTCTCTATTGCCCTTTAGTTTCACATACACACCTACAAACAAAACATTTACATATAATGATCAAATTCATATTTTTTAAAACATAAATATAATTTTCTAAAATCTAGACCTGCATAACTTGTATCTAAAGCTGCGCTAGCAAGCTCCTACCAGGTTTGGCTGAGCAGGGACACATGAACAGTGCCACAAGTCCCAGAAACTGCTTTGAATTTACCTCTCTACCACATGATGGACATGGCGCTTGCACATAATCCATAGAATGCTGTGACATTCCTCCCACAACCGACCAATAAGAGATTGTCTTATTGTTAAAAGCAATCATTTAAAGACAACCACATATAATATTTATTATCTCAAGTATGTTCTTTGTTATGATTTGTTAAAAGAAATAATTAGATTTTTCATAAGGGACATCTAAGTTTAAGGATATTACAACTACAGTTCATCCAATCACATTACAGCATAAGAAGCATGACATCCTAGTCCTATAGAATAACAAAACATGAGTGGCACTGCAGTTGTCACAGGACAATGTGATCTTTGTAGTGCTATTTATGTATATAGGTGATGTTTACCACTCACCATCTGTAGGGCCGATAAATTAAATTTAAATTAAACCTTAGCAATACAAAAACTTATATAAGTAAATTATATACTGACTAAACTAGGATTTATCTATGGAACCAAAATTTTTTATTACATATTTTAGTTTTTAAATTTCTAAGGTCATGAAGATCGAAGCAAAAACTGTCTATATTTGTAAGATTTTGACAATAGTTTTTTTAACAAAAATACGTATGTAACATTACTAACCGAACGTCCAACATGCCAGTGTAGACAGCAGTTGCCTCACGGCTGATTTATTTGGCAATATAATTGAGGCTATCCACAGTACAAGCGCCAACAATATTCTAAACGCCAGTAATATGACGCCGAATGGTAAATATAACAAAAACTGAAAAACATTATCGCCACAAAACCTGCAAAACAATATTAAATAGGACATTAATTAACATTATCACAGATTCGTTATTGGTAAACTTTCTTCTCCAAACAGAAAGTGGTATGCACAACAAAATATTCACCTGTCGTCGTTTTTTAATTTGTCCACAGTAAGAGCCATAGTTAATTTTGAAACAGAAATTAAGTTTTACTACTTAAATTTGTAATACATTTATGAGAAATTTCTAATTTCCTTTTCGTAATTACTGTAATCTGAAGGAATCACAATCACGAGATGACAGTTCGACGTAACGTAATGCGCAGATCACAGAGACTAGGAATGACAGGAATGTACACGATAAATTGGAAAATTTAAGCTTTTGATTGACGTAGCTGTCATTATAAACATGTTAATCTAAAATTAACCTATATTTTGGTTATCTACATTCTACGCAATGCATTCGAGTTTTATGCGGGTTTATTGTGTTCTTTGATTGTGAATGAAATGTGAAATTGGGAATTCCTTTGTTGGAATTGTATATTTACGACACTATCAAGAAAATTATATTAAATTAAAATTAATCAAATTTCTTTGCTGCTGTATGGGACACACTTGTGATGTTTTTTTAAAAGCCTAAAATAGTTTGTGGCATCGACACAAAAAGTGATAATCATTTATGTATCATCAAGTTTTTGTCTACAATTGGACCGAATTCGGAGAACATAATTATGGAACACATAACGCCTTCACCAGGCAGTAATACTCCAGAAGAAACTGAACAAAGGCCAGATGGAGATCACCGCGAAAGCAGAAGTCAAGGTTTTTCCTCCTCGAATACGTCCATCGCAGCTCTTAGTCAAATGGAAGAGAAAATGCGTAGAAAACTTCAGTTTTTCTTTATGAACCCTATTGAAAAATGGAAGGCGAAGCGGAAATTTCCGTACAAGTTCGTTGTCCAAGTGATCAAGATCGTATTAGTTACATTTCAATTGTGTTTATTCGCCCACAATAGATACAATCATGTTAATTACACATGGGATAATCGTATCAGTTTTTCGCACCTATTTCTACTCGGCTGGGACTCGACGCGGGAGATTAACGCCTACCCTCCTGGCGCTGGTCCTTTAGCAATTTACAAACAAGATGAGTTCTACAGCACCATAAATTATGCTATGGCGGGATATTCTAATCTAAGTAATGCTATAGGCGCTTACTCATACAATGATGAAAACAATATGAAAGTTGATCCAGTTTTCTGTCAGTATAATTACAAGCAAGGCATAATAAATGGTTTCAATGAAAGCTATACATTCAACTCGGAAATTGTGGAGACATGTCTTAATTTCACTAGTACAAGTGATGAAGTGTTCTCTTCACAGTTGTTTCTATCAAAATCAGGCTTCGACATCAATTTTGCAGCTCTAGTCAGAGCCAAACTTATGTTTTCTATAAACACGATAAATTTTAGAGCTGCAGGTCCAATCACACCTCCAGATTGTTACAGGTTTGATGTCCAGATAGTTTTTGATAATGAAGACCATGATGGCCAAATGTCTCTTATTCTGGAAGCAGATCCATACAAGCTGACATGTAGAGGTGATACTGATTATGTCACTGATAATAAAATTGACCAAGTCTTAAGGAGTATACTCAACATACTTGTCATTTTGATCTGTTCTGCATCATTCATTTTATGCAGTAGAGCAATATATAGAGCTCAGTTGCTAAAAGAGCTAACAGTTCAGTTTTTCATTCATACATACAACAAAGAACTGAGTTTGGATGGTCGGCTAGAGTTCCTCAATGTATGGTACATTATGATCATAATCAATGACATGTTGATCATAATGGGATCAGCCATTAAGGAGCAAATAGAGAGGAATCAGTTCACAAATGATCAATGGAATGTCTGCTCTTTATTCTTAGGCACCGGCAACCTCTTAGTGTGGTTTGGTGTCCTGAGGTATTTGGGATTCTTTAAAACATACAATGTAGTCATACTTACATTGAAGAAGGCAGCTCCAAAGATATTCCGTTTCTTGATTTGTGCTCTATTGCTATATGCCGGATTCACATTTTGTGGCTGGCTTATTTTGGGACCCTATCACATGAAGTTCAGATCTCTTGCGACCACATCCGAATGCTTATTCTCTCTCATAAACGGTGATGACATGTTTGCAACATTCTCTATTATGTCAAAGAAATCACCAATGCTTTGGTGGTTCAGTCGTGTATATCTATACTCATTTATAAGTTTATATATCTATGTTGTCCTCAGTTTGTTTATATCGGTTATAATGGATGCTTATGATACAATTAAGCAATATTATAAAGATGGATTCCCTAAGAGTGATTTGCAGCAATTCATTGGTGAGACCAGTGTTGAGGAAGTATCTTCTGGTCTGTACAGAACTCAGAGCTCTTCTTCTTTGAATGCAGTAATGAATTCATTGTTCTGCTGCAATTTTTATCGCAGCGCCTACTCTAAAATAGGGGGCGGAACATCTGCCCAGAATTTGTTGTAAACAGAATCTGCTCTGCAATATCTATTAATTTTTAAATAGACATGTAGATGCAATTACTGTTATCACTGAATGATAACATCAATAGTCCTTATTTTTGAAGTGATTACTTCTGTAATTGTTTGTTTATTTAAATATGTTGCACAGTTATCTTTAAATATGTTTGGGTTGACTGTTGTATTATCATTATTGATAATTGTTCACTATAACCATTATGTACTTGAATACTTTTCTTTAACAGATTATTATTCAAAATGTTATACTTTACAATATATATTATTGATTAAAAAAACTAGTCTGTTATATGTTAATTACTTTCTTAGCTTAAATTTGTCTCTTTCCTTATACTATTTATTGAGTATCAAAATGAACAAAGTGATAATGACAACTGATTTATAAAAAATTGTATATCTGTACTTTTGTGATAGTAAAAATAATTTAGAAGATGTAATTGTATAGTTGTATAAAATATTGTACATATTGGAGAGTTGTAAATTATGAAGATATACCTCAGGTTAGGTTACTTAGGTATTTTGTGTATAATGAAAATAATGAATGTACATATTTGGTAGCTGATATTATTGATTGTATGTACTTACAAGTGTGTAAAAATATATGAATGTATTTTAAATTTAGTTAAGATGTAGTTCCAAAATTCACATTCAGCCCTTTCTTATGTACAAAACAAGAATCTTAATAATCTCACATGTTTGTTTATTCAAATACATACATATTAAAATGTATAAATGTGCTAGGGTTGCTATCGAATTTGTTTTGGCGAATTTAAATCAGTACTTAATACGTATCGTACCAAAAACACTAGTATTATAGAATAAATTGCTTACAATAAGTTTGAAAATTTTATACATATTTATTTTGTACAATAATAGTAATTTTTTTATTAACTTAATTGTAACAAATAGATTATATTTTTTTATAGTGTTGATAGATTTATTATCCAATATATGTCACGTATGTACCGCCCTTAACACAGCCAAATATAAATTTAAAGCAGGTACTTAAGTACAGTACTACAGTAGAAATAGTATTAATGTATCCTCTCAATTACAGTGTACATTAGCAACCCTAGTTTATCAGATATACACTATCTACGTAATTTATCAAATACTCATAATAAACAAATATAGAAATAAATAGCCATAACTGTAATCTTATTTGTATATGATACCTAAAATATCAATATTTAACATGCCTTGTCTTTAGTTATTGAAAATATATTGTTACGAGAACTTAACTACTGTTTTACTTTTTTAGATATCATGTTTATGTAAATTTTCATAATGATTTGTTCAGCCGTTTCGTCGCGAAAAGGTGACAAACAGACACGCTTCCAAATTAATTATAATTTTTAATGGTATTTTATGAAACCACCTGCTCGTGCATCCGCCTGCGTTAACGGTTTACGCTGGCCAGGCTGATGGATGAGCATAAGGTCAGTTGACCCATCGTGACAAATTCACTAAGAATTTATTAGAATTATTTCCAGGGAGAACAGATGGAGTAATTAGTTCACATTGCTAACATTTACCCCTAATTTATTATAATACAGTAGGTATAGATGTAGGCAAGAAATAAGGACTTAAGTTACTCAGCTAATTTTGATATTTTTTTGGTGAATAGTCGATTTATTGAGGTGGCCTATATACTATAGGATATATAGCATCAAGCTAGGATCAATAGGATGGGAACTACACTGAAAAATATTACGAGGAAGACTACTTGCGGGGATTAGTTTATAAAATTATTTAAACTACATAACGGTTTTTATACAGTTTTAGCAATACGAGTGATTTAAGAGGAAGGTTTATATGTATTATACATATACACCCGAAGTCAGATAATTAGCCCATTGGAAGTATAACTGGCGAATATACTATCATCGTGCGGCAACACCGTTGCCTAATTACGATGGAGCTTGAAAAATAACTAGCCTATCATTCCAGACCGAATCGCCTCTTGTAAATATACTTCTTATGTATCTATTGTAAATACTTTGTTAATATACATAATGTAAATAGCAATCACTGGACTCATCATTCCACCCTCCTCTCCTGCTGCTACATGAACACATACAATACATAAATATTAGCGGCTCCAACATAGCCCCTAAACAGTTTCGTCGGGTAGCTAGTCCATTATATTATACATATATAAATAATGTATAAGTGCAATGAAGAATATATTAATAAGTGACATATAGGCATTTGGCTTTGTATCGTATATCCTTCCTCAGGTTTCAAATATCTTTTATTGATATTGGTTCACTCAAAGTCTAGAATGGAACCGCTGTTATGCATTATGAATCACATTCGGTGTCATGTCAATATTTAATACCAAACTTAAGGGCAAAGTATCAAAATTCACCGCATACCACACGTGTAACACGAACACACGTAACACGATATGAAATGTGTTGATACATTATCTGGCATTGGATAGAAATTACGCAAGCGCTGTACAAAAATAAAGTTAATTATGTAAGTACATTAATCAATTGGGTAAATAGATTTCTTGAACATTTATTTTTCGGACTACTCTAATACAGTTGGCTACAGCTGGGCTTTACAGCTTCCGGACGAGTGCGAGTGCAGATGACACTCCAAACCCGCGGAAGGACCTATGGAACGGCTGAAAGCCAACTCCTGCTTGACGGATATGACTAGTCTGAGGGCACGTTTATAGGTTCGAACCTCGGCTCAGGCCGTAGTAATTTCGATCGCCGTTTGAATTGGACGGGGAATCGAACGAAGTGGATTCTTGAACATGTGCTTACATGTATCTACTTACATATCTGTCAACACTCGGCACCCTTCCATTTTTTTACATCTATTTCTTGTAAAACAAGTCCGCAGTACGACTCCGCGTTAAGTGTTCGCATTACAATTTAGCACGCTATCGAATAAACTTGCTAATGTAGTACAGTTATTACACCCGTATACTCATTACCTAGATAAATTAAATCGCAACACCTCATCACATGAATACTAATGTGTTTTTCATATTACAGTGTAGATGTGTACGACTTGTAGTACACGGCATATCTGGTGGTAAACTGTTAGCGTAGGTTTTCAACGCAGTGTGGCGTACGTAGGCGCGAGTCGGGCAACATCCTCGTATGTTCCAGCCATTTTTTTTTAGTGGATGATAATGGAATGGTGTTCCCGCCTGCGCTAACGGTTTAGCGGGGCACCAGAGGAGGATGATAAGATGAACATGAAGTCAGATCAGTTAGCCCAACGTGACAAATTCACCGGGAATTTATCACGAAGGTTTCCGGGGGGAACCGCGTGGAGGTCCACCTGACATGGTATATTGCTAGCAATGGGATCATTAGTCCACATTACTAACAATCCCCTCCCCCCTGTTCCAGCCATTGGGAGGCTTCTCCTTCGTGGATACGTCCGCGGGGAACGGTGGCCGAGCAATGGTTTGGTTCTGGTATGCCCTGGGCGGGATAGTAGTAGTTCCTTCGGGATATTGCTGCTATGTCGGCCGAAAGTCCCACAAAGGGGGGCGGCGCAGGCTGGGACAATGGGCCCAGGTGGGGTCCGTCCCGGCCGTTAAGCGTCGCGTTGGTGGCCCGCTCCTGCTATAACTCTACTCTTGTAGAGACACGTGCGGAGAAAAAAAAGGCTTTGGACGTTTGAAACCACAGTTATAAAACTTACCTACGCGTTGCTGACTTTTAAGATACCCTTTTCAAAACCTCAGCCTATATTACAAATCCTTGTTCATTCTACGATTCGTGTGTTTAGGATAGCGGCTCCTTTGAAACAGCACTGTACAGGACCATTTAAGTTTTAGGGTATGAGGATAAATTCTCTGTCAATGTATAGATATACATAGAAAACAAGCAATTCTGTACAACAATTATACTCATAAATACAAGTATTCGTACCCTGCAAGGTATCGAACCCGCGACCGTCAACAAAACATTATTAAAACAAGATATCTGTTCGCAAGCATGCACACGGGAATAACACAGTATCTCAGGACAACAATGTAATATTATCCAATTGAATTAAACAATCATGCATGTAATGTGTAGTATTTATATCTGTAGTGTTTGTGAATCTTTATTATTCATCATAACGACCCATTTCCGTCTATCAACAGGATACTGATCTCTCCTAATAACGAGTGCTGCTATTTTGTGCATCAATTTGATACTGAGTACAAAATAAGACTAATTTACCATGTTGTTTTAGGGCAAACAGCCCGATATAGTTTTATTCCACTAAAATAAAACTACTATTTACCATTACCACCCTGTTCCAGAACAAATAGTCTAGTAGGTACAGTTTTACTTTACCTTTTCTGGACAGCTCACCATGGAACAGTACGTGAGACGATTAAAACTCCAACATATCCTGGAGCTAGAAGACCGGCAGTAGCTCTGGCTGCCAATTCCAATGGGAAGAAAAAACAGTACCTAACTTTCGCTCACTCCTAAATTTATCAGATGTCAGGGTAGTCTATAAGGGATTTATAATATGGGCCTAGTAGCCCGAAATAAATATATAAATAATAAAATATTTATTTATTTGTTTCCTTTAATTTAATTTTGGAACTTTAACCTTTTAATTAAAACCTTGAAATTTGATTTTAATTATGGAAGCTTGTGGCCCATTAGGACAATTCACACAGATCATTTTTAGTTTATATGGAATTTCTTACTCATAAGGTACTCAGTTAATACAGGAAGAATTTCAGTCTTCAGTTAATCCAAAAAAAAACAGTACATAGGACTACTGTCAAATGGTTTTTTTTATTTCTATATAATTTCCCTAAATTATATAATTAATTAAAAGTACATGCCAGTCCCATTGTATCCTAAAACTAATGACTATATCACTTCACCAAATTGAGCAAATTGCTTTAGCCGCACCACAGATAACATAATATTGGCTGCACTATCTAAAGGATCGTCTAAAACACTTTGAGCGGCACCAATAACGAATATATTAATTTTTGTTACTGTTACACTTCTCTTGTTGTGTATATTAGGCATTCCATTGCAGAGTCTATATTGGAAGCCTGGTACCATCATTTTCCGCTCCTATGATTCTAGGTAAATAGAAGAAAAGAAACAAAATAACGGGTACTTAAATAACTTTTCAACATATATTATGCATATAATTTATACACTAGTAACAAATTTACAAACTTACAAAATTTATGCACTTCATATCGTAGTGTAAAAACATCCATATCAAATCAATTCATACATACATAACACAGTTTTCTTTACAAATGAACTAACGTAGGTTTTGTAAAGAGTCGGTAGGTCTGACTCATCCAATTATACTTGTAGGGTGAATGAGATATACCAGTGAAATTACCGGGTACGGAAGCATCTTAGTCCTCAGGAAAAGGAATTGAGGTGTGGTACCAGAAGCGTCATGGGAAGACGTACGTACTAAACATAATATTTTGCATAAAATCCGAAACAGGTAATAGATTTTTTTATTCAGGGGTTTTTTTTTAATGGTGCACCCGCCTGCGCTAACGGTATACGCTGGCGGGGCACCAGTGGAGGATAATAAGATGAGCATGAAGTCATTAGTGGCATCGTGGCAAATTCATTAGGAATTAATCTATAATTACTCGCCTGTGCTAACGGTATACCGTTAGAACAGGCGAGTCCACTATTTTCTATTATAAACAACATTGGCGTTATTATTTTGCATGCTTCCGTACCCTATTACACTGTCATATTAAGGTTATCAATTATCATTACAATAAAGTACAAAAATAGAGCTTGTAAAATGCTGAATCAATAAACATACTGTATCAAGCCAAAAACTACAATCATCATAATGAACCTGCATACCTTCAGGACTGTTATTCCAAAAACTCACGATAATTTTCTAGTGAATGGGCGATGAGCTAACTCATTTGACGTTATGTTTATCTTATTATTCACCATTCCTTTATCAATATAGCGTAGCGGCTTTTGTATTGATTGCCGCATGCATCCTTATGTAAGGTGCGAATACTGTAACTACCATATAGTAATTTTTGTGGCTGTGACGTGGTCGTGTGGAATGAGTGGTCATGCTCACTGAAGTGTCCAGACATGTGGCGGCGTGGTGGGCCGGGTCAATGGGCTCCCTGAAGTGTGGTCGAGCGCGGTGATGGCTGGCTCATCCGTCATACTCGTGAACGAGTGCTGCTTGTAGGGACTGGTCTGCTCTTATCACTACGACTGATTTAATCTTATTGCATGATTATGTTTGACCCAAAAAATTAGTGCTTGTTGGTAGTTTGTATTCACACGTTTCGACTTGTAAATGTAAACAAGGATTATTTAAAAGAGCAACACACAAGTTTCTTGCTCGTTCTTCTTGTGATGAGACAGCTTTCCGAACGAGTGGTAGATAAAAAACAAATTGTTATGACTATTCAAAAGTGCTTAAATTAAGTTTATTTGAATAAATGATTTTCTATTCTATTCTATTCTATTCTATTCAATTAGAAAAAAAATATTTTAGATGTTATTGGTGTTTTCATGACCGGAGTGTCAAATTATAATCGACACATTTTGTTGTGTGTAGGGGCAGCAACCACCAGGTTACAACCCTATCAAGCAAATAATAACTCTATTTCTTCAGTCATAACCATAAATTCGGAACATACTTACTTATAGTACATTATATTATTTACAATTACATATATTTGGACCTGATTTTTAGGAAATACATACGAATGTAAAATATTACTGACCTAACAATATGGCAACCGAATTGGCGTTGGCAAGTGTTCTAGGGGCACATTACACTATCATATTTATGTATAAAATCGTTCTACAACAGCCTTATATAATACTACCCCTGATGTTTAATTACATATCGACAGAAGAAAGCAATATTGTCATAACTTCAAAATATTACACCAAAAAACTGTTTGAAAAATATTAAATCATATATATGGAGATTTAAGTTGAAAATTGGTTAAATACATACCAATTTTCCACGTTCTATATCAATAAATAGCTATATGTGTTAAGATTTTTTTTAAATAAGAGAATCTGAAAGAACTTTTATGTAAAGAGGGGTTTTTGATGTTACAATTATTCCGCTTTCTTCCGTCAAGATTTATTTACAGAAAAATGGCATAAACGAACAATATTTAAATATCAAACAATAATATCTTTTAAAAGTAGTTACAGAATGCCTGACGATATATTATTGGCCATTTTAACAAGTTTTATATTTTAATCAATGCTTCCCAAACTATGGGTCACACATAATTATAGAATCCATTTGATAGGATTGATGGTACCCAAGCGGGCCCTGAAATGAAAACCCTCTCATCCGCGAAGAAGCCAATTATTGGACTCGGACACTATAGCCCTATCTGTGGAGCATACAATATTTTTTGAAACTTCACTTTCAAAATTATTGGTTGCTCCAGATCGGCACAAAGCCCCAAGTATAAGAAGTCCTGTAATTCTCCTGTTCTCTAAGATGGGGCGTTAATGTCATTTTGACAGCTAACAGTTGAAAAGTTTGCTGAGTATCACTAATAGTTTATGCTCAGTTACTCTCCCGAGTCTGGTAATTCTTGTTAGTTAATTCACGGGACAGGCAACTTTGGGAACTACTGGCTTAACTAGACATCCGACATAGATATGTTAAAATTAGTTTACAATGCTCTTATAAAAGTCTTAAAATTGTCTACTAACCAGAGATGACAAGTCTTTTAAACGTTAATTATAAATATATGAATTCCTCGAACTCATGTCTTTCTGTTACGCCAAGTCTTATTGTTATTATTATTAGGCCATGTTCCTGACACTATACAATTAAAAAAAAAGTCATATATATTTATATATGACAGATGCCATTATATTTCATATAAAAAGTATAATTACATTGACACTTTATAATTTATTTACAAATCTTTCATAGATTAGACAAGCATGCAATAAAAATTAAGTTTTTACACTATTTCATCTTTTTCTTTCAAGCTATTTTCCAGTTAGAAAGAACACAATATAATTTATATTACATTGTTTTAATGAAATATATTTGTTTTTTATAATTAATTTAGAATAACATATTATTTCGCAATGCCTTGTTAGTCCGATTCCTCTGAACGAAAAGGAGTGTTAAGGTTTAGGGATGCACATCTGCATTCTAGTGCATCCCCCACGTTGTAGAAAGTTAGGCCAAAAAGAATATGTGTTTTCTTTAGTTTTTTTGTTATATTTAATATATTTCATAATCATTGCCCTTCATAAATATTTTATAAATATTTTTCTGTAATTATGCAAAAGGTATATGTAAAAATGAATAAACCCCTGATAGTTCGTTTCTTTGTGTACTATTGTCTCATTGGCCTCACTTTTACATTATTAATTATTACTTTTACAATTAAGTAGTCTGATGATATGAATTCCTGTATAATTTATAATAAAATTGGATTTTTTTTTCATTTTCGACTTGAAGCCTTCAATTTCCTTAAACTTATAATAACTTAATGTCTAAATGAGCTACCTCCCGATCAATGCGACAGACATAAATTACCAACAATTACAGTATAACTAAATAAATACATATAAACTTACAACGTCACATAGCTACCTTATATATTACATTATTAATAATAGACTTCGAAAATTCTTTGGAATCGAATATTGTACCAAACAATTGATATATTTCTAGTGCGAGATATATATATATATATATATATGACACCAAAGAATCTAATCGATATAAGTCTCAGTACAAAAATACTACACGATATAAATTCGTCAGTCTGTTCATATTATTTATTTCTTATCATCATCTACAGTCCTTTGCCGAGGCTCTGCACCCAGCATCAGTTGGATCTCGTCTACGCTCTTGCCCTTCGTCTCGGGGACTACGAAGAATATAAATATAAACCCAATGACCATAATACCAGCGAACAGCCAGAACACTTGCCCAGACCCAATTGCTTCGTTCAACGAGTTGAATGTACTTGTGACGGCGAAACTGAGGAGCCAGTTCAAGGTACCAGCCGTGGAACCGACGAATGCCTTTATATCAATCATGCACAGATCACCCGCCATCATCCATGGGATTGGTCCGAAGCCGAGTGAAAACGCAACGATGAACAACGACAGAGACAACAGAGGCAGCCACGATATCGACGCAACGATATCAGAACCTTCACCGTGTTTATCTTGTAAGAAGAAGAAAACGCCTAAAGCCGTTGAACACAAGCACATGACTAAGGCAGACAACAGTAGTAGAATGCGTCTGCCTAGTTTATCAACAACCAAACTGGAAATGAATGTGGCGATGACCTGTGTAACTCCTATGATTATCGAGGATACATCATTGGACATAGACGCGCCAGCTGACGCGAAGATAGCCGACGAGTTGAAAATTACTGCGTTGATACCCGACAGTTGTTGGAACACCATCAAAGCGTAACAAATGATAATTGCTTTCACTGCAGACTTCTTTGTGATGGCAGAAGTGAAGGAGACCTGGTTCTGCCGAGATTCCTCAGCTTTAAGTTTTAAGCCGTTCAATTCGCTATCGACGTCGTATGCGCTACCTCGTAATTTGATTAGAGCTTCTCTAGCCTCATCATTTTGTCCTTTAACAATCAAGTAGTTCGGACTCTCCGGCATGAAGAAGAATATAATACCAAATATTATTGGTATTAATGTACACAAAATGTTAAAGACCAATACAGAAGTGTAGCTACCGACGGCATAAGCGAATAGGATACCAATTGTAATCATCAGTTGGAAGTAACTGCCTAAAGTACCTCGTATTGAGTCTTGGGCTATTTCACTAGTGTAGGCTGGAGCTGTCACGCAGAAGGCTCCTCCAGCTATACCCGTTATGAACCTGCCGGCCATGAGCATACCGACGTTTGTTGCGAGGGTAATCAAAAGCCAGCCCAATGTGAAAGGCAATACAAGGAACAACATGGTTTTTTTACGGCCTATAGCGTCCATGATTAAGCCAATGGGGAAACACACTGCAGCAGCTCCGAGATTTATGAGGGATGAGATCCAATCACCTTGCGCGACGGTCACAGGGAAGTCGTATTCAGTGCTGTTTGGCTGCGTAATTTTGTAGACGACTGGGGAAGACCATCCAAGCATAGACCCGGCCGCAAGCGCTCCAAGTGTAGCTGAAATCAAAAAGTAATAATTGATTAGTTATTAAAGAAATTGAGAGAGAGATGGTGAGAGAGAGAACCTTGACAGCCTTGGTGTGTTTAAGATGGAGGTCAGAGTAAGAGGATCAGCTTCTCCTTATGATTAAGATCTAATAGGTACCTAGAAATAAGTACTTAACTCTCGAATCCACTATCAGAGCATTATATCTCTTGAACTTATTTTTGGGTAAAGTCTAAGATGTGTAAACAGCCTTACCTTCTCAAATAAATAAAATTAGAATGTACCTCTCATAGTTAAGTATAATAGTTTAAAACATATAAGTGTTCACAATTAGTTGTAAGTTTATACTGTATACTTATACCACAGATAACATAATGTTACATCTACTACTATACAACTATATATTTAATTTTGTAAATAATATTAAAAAACATGTATTTATCAGGGGAGAGGGGTTGTTAGTAATGGGGATATGAGAGGGCAAAGCTTACAATCTGCATATAATTCCTGACACAGTTCCCACTATGGTTCAACTGACCTAACTTCATGCCATCCTATCATCTCTACTGGTGTCCTGCCAGCATATACCTAAGGGCAGGCAGTTGCAGCATTCCATCATCATCATATGGATGATGTATAAGTGATAAATATTGTTTTCTGTATGGGCAGAAAACAATATTTATCACCTGGCATTATATGATTAAATAACAATTACTTCAAGTATGCATGGCAATAGTTGTTCATGTACAGAATTTTAATTTAATGTCAGACATATACAAATATACATTGTAACTAAACTGGCTTTTAGAATAATAAAAATAATTTTAATTGAGTCTCTTGCTAGTTCTTCTCAATTGAATCTGTATACGGAACTGAACAGTATCGAAATAATTACAATATAAAAAAATTACATAAGCCACTAAAATGTCCTACATGAATAAATGATTATTAATTTGAATAATTATTTATTTATAGTAGAGACTTGTTTGTTGTTACACTTAGTGTCTTATTATTTTATTAGTAGTTAGACTATTAATTAATGTTGTATGTGGAAAAAAATACCTGATAGAGCTGCAATGTATTGTGGCAATTTCCGCCCTGAGTCACCTCTTGTCCCCACCAGCTCCGACTGGGAGACGCCCACGTCAGCCATGGTGCCGTTGTCCACACGCTGAAAATAATATATATTGGGCCATAAGTGTTTGCAAATATTTGAAAAACACACTTCACATTTACACTTCACATTTGTTTCTACAATATTTGATTAGTAATAAATTTCAAAAAGTAATTTTTTCACTAGGGGAGATCATCACCAAGGGTCTTTTTTTGTTTGAGGTTGTTTAGGATGTAACAACCTCCAAAAAAAAGGTGCTTGGTGGTGATCATCTACAGGAGTGGAGTACATCAATATTGTTACATGATCAACAGACTATTGTATTCTTAAAAGTAGGCTCCATTTAAATTTCCATCTCTTGCAATTAATAAATAAAAAGTATTCCTTAAAAAAAAGCCATATTTTTTATTCCTCGCAACTGACCCTTGCAAATAACTCCTTGTACTCTGGACTTGGACTCTGCTTAACTCTTTTAAACCACACGAGATTAGATTTGAATATAATTTTCAGTATCATTTATAGAAATTCTTCCGGAAGAATTATATTCACATAGTACTCAACCTCTATTACTGGGGGGGAAAGGGGATTGTTAGTAATGTGGACTGATGATCTTATTGCTAGCAATGTACTATGTCAGGTTGACCTCCATGCGGTTCTCCCTGGAAACCATCATGATAAATTCTTGGTGAATTTGTCACAATGGGCTAACTGACCTGACCACATGCTCATCTAATCATCCTCCACTGGTGCCCCGCCAGCGTAAACCATTAGTGCAGGCGGGAGCACTATTTCATTATTATCCATAAAAAAAACGTCTATTACTACATTGTACATTCACACAAAACCAAGGTCGCTAGCCATAATATTCACAGTAATTACTATGCTACAACATAAGTAACAAAAAAATAAAGAGTTCGGCAAATAAGTTACCTCATTTTGAATTTCACTACTCGGGCCAGGGGTAGAAAGTAAGGGCTCACGTTCCGAGTCGCTACTAGACCCCGACCGATTTCGCCTAAATATTGAACTTCTCATTTTCAATACTATCCCAGTAATCCACGTAAATTAACGCAAGAACTAGTCACTCATGTTAAGACACAAATAAATATTGCAAACAAAACCACTCATTCAAGTTTTAGTAAACAATAGAAGTTTGTTTAAAGAAATTTAAAATGGCATCCGAAGATAATTCCGATAACAGAATTATTCAGTTAATAACACAATATAGAATACAACAACAATAATCTTTAATACACTAAAAATAGACGTAACTACGTATGAATGTAGTTACAATAAACAAAAACAACTTATAAGTACAATAATAATAAAAAAATGATAACGTTAAAAAACATACAACTGACACATTCATGTCAGTCGATATTGACGGCACTGTTACTGTCAAAGTGCTGTCAAAACATGGACAAATTATAATTGCCACCTAAAAAAACAATGATGGAGAACAAGAGTTACCAACCGTACAAGGATACTTTAAAATCATGATAGGTTTTCTGACTCATTATTATCATGCTATAATATTAAATACAATTTTGACTTCGAGAAATTTATTATTTAGAATAAGCGTTTGATTTTAAATTATGAAAAAACAAGTATATTATGAGCTCAATAGCAAACTAAGGTTATATTTTTTTAATATATCTACTTAAGAATTAAATTTTTGTTTGGTTGGTTTCAATCAAGGGAGAGTTAGTCACAAATATATAACACACTAATTTGGTGGTGTCAACTAGATTCTAAAGCACGACCTTCAGAGCCTAAGTTAGAGTATTAACCCACTACACAACGACGCAGCAGATAATCACTATCTGTGTGAACCATAATTGTATGTATGAGTCTGTCATATAAACAACTAGTGACTCGCCCTTGTCTCACACGGCTATACAACGTATATGACGGACTATGTTTAATATACATATATTAGATTATAGATGTAAATCTAGCCCAATAAAGTCTTGCATGGTTTTTTTATGGATGATAATAATGGAGCACCCAGGATCATATAAGCTGGCAGGACACCACTGGATTAGCCCACCGTAATGAAATCACCAAGCATTATTGTTTCTATGGCGACCACATGAAGGTTGACCTATCATAGTATATTCATAGCCATGTCCCAAAGCCATAAATGTACTTGTTCCCATTACTAAAAATAGCGGTAATATGGGAACGAAGATAAAAATTATTAAAAAGACGAAAACAGTGAAAAAAACGGAAACGATTTATTTTATACTACCTGTTACCCGTTGTTTTTATTAAAATTAAAATAAATCTACAATAAAAGACTCTTTATATGATATATAGCTAGCGAGTAAAAATCCTCTTAAATCAGACCAGCCGTTTCAGAGCTTAACAATAACAAACGACAGACATTTTTTTATAAATAATTATTTTATGTAAGTATACCGTATGTACTTTCTTATGCATTTAGTGAAAATCCATTAATTGGAAATTACAACAACAACAATAATCATTTATTCAGCATAGCATAATACCTACAGAGTAAAAATATATAAAAACTTAAAAGTATTACCTTTTAAAGTTTTCTATATTTTTACTATTCTTATACAAGAATAAGCGCAAAAGAGCTGCATCACTGACATTTAGAATTTAAGGGGAGCGCAAACAGCTTTTCAAAAACTATTGCAAATATGTCTGATATCGTTGCCCTGCTGCGGACCCAGTGCTTCTGGACGTGGACACAGATATTTGAACTACATAAGAGCATATATCTATATAATATAATTTACTAATATAGTTTATAAGTTGTTTACTAACATAATATGAATGTAATCCGCATTAAAAAAATAAAGAAAATAATATTGGGCTTTGATCTGAAAAGGCCTCCACTCAGCTGGTGCCGCTGCGTGTCATTGCAGCGCTGATTTTCAGTTACAAACAGACACTTCAATTATTTTTGTATGTATAGACTATTAGACATACAAGCACGTGGACAGGCCACACACATTATAATGATGTTGTATGGACTTGACATTGACAACATAATGTTACGTGCCCTTGACTCTCAACTCAGTAATAACCCAACCATAACATATCATAGATACATATATAAATGTATGGAATTTGCATTACGATGTTAAGTTTGTAATTGCATTTATAAAAGCATAATTTATAAAATCTTTTCTTAAAAATAAAATTTTGGTTTAATTGGTTTCAATCACGGGAGAGTAAGTCACAAAAATTATTTAAAGACTAAAAATTAAAATGAAAAAAATGTAAACTGAATTCGCACTAATTAATATCTATACTTACGAATACTTTTTTTTTATATTGCATCTGAATTGGAAAACAAGCAAACGGCCGCGAAAATTTCCCTGCGTTAATATCATTTATATATTATTTTACTTATATACTTTATTATACCAGATACAGAAAAATATATATAAAGGATAAAAAGTAATATAAACTTGTACAAAAGGCGGTCTTATCGCTAAATAATCTCTTACAGACAACCTTTATTAGAAAGTTTTACAATCCTTAGATATAAACTACTTCTGGTCGGTTAGAAATTACTTCCAAAGGTGGCGGGTTCGGTTCCTCACACGGTACAAAAATGTTTATTCATGAGTATAATTTCTGGTATTGATCTGGGTGTTTTCTATGTATATTATATATTGAACACATGTATACATATATTTAAAAAGAAAAAACCAACACACAAGTTTCTCACTTTCAACACTCTTTTTCGTTCTATTTGTAATGAGTCTACTTATCGAATGAGCGGTAAAATAAAAAATATTTTATGACGATTCCTGCTTATTTTAAATTTATTTCATTAAACAATATTTATATTTCCAGCAGTTGTTTGGTACCCACACTAACACAACATAATATTACAATTGCGCTGTGAGAATTATCCAGGGTTATAATTATTATTAATGACTCAAAAATGCAGAAATAATTTAATATTTGTAAAAGTGGTTTAGTAAATAATAGACGCAAGAAATTAAACACTTAAGTACACAAGTACTAAAAATGACAATGAAACTATAAAAGACTTATAATTGCTGTGATAACATACATATATACGTAAATATATATATATAATTATTCTTATAAAACAATTAGGTACCAATCTACAAACCTAATCTATACTTATAAATAAAATTGGAGGGTCTGTTTGTAATATTGAAATAACCGTTTTTTACTACATGCATATGAATATAAACACGGTACATACACAAAAATAGCATTTTTTTTAACTTTTGTAGAAGAAACAAACAGACAGACAGACAGCTGTCTGTCTGCTTGTTTGTTAATCTCTGAAATGGCTGGACCGATTTTGACGGGACTTTTATTGGCAGGTAGCTGATGTAATAAGGAGTAACTTAGGCTACTTTTATTTTAGAAAATATAGTAAAATACCACGCGGACGAAGTCGCGTGTACAGCTAGTATACAATAAACAATATCACAAAGGATTTTGTTACACAGATAATGTCGATGACCTCCTAATGCATATGTAATTAATAAATAACAACCATTATCAATTTCAAGGCTGTGTTATATTTGTATGATATGTATATTTTATTGTTATATTACCTATTCAGATACGATACAAAAATAAAAAATTTTTAAATGTCAATTTGTAATTTCAAATTAATAGCTTCTCACTTAAAGCATATGAAAGTCATTGAAAGTATATATATATATATATATAAAACCATCATATTCACCTGCATACACAACATTTCATTTAAACTACATAGAATATAAAAAGTAAACATGTTTTTAAATTTTAGACTCAATTCTTAAAATTATGAGCTTGTTATCTGTTAGTACTTATATGTAAAATTATTTAAATATCTAGTCTTCTCGTTCACTCGTCAGTAGACTATAGATACCTAATTATTGTACAGAAACGTCTTCAACGACTTTTTGTTTCAATGACAATGTATCGGTTTGCAATTTCGCGCATTACCGCATAGGTAGGTACATATTTTCATAACAATAAAGATTGTTATGGACACAATCAAATAATGAGTGCAATGCATAGGAATGTCTGTGAAGATTTACAGGTTAGAAACGGAAAACCCAGATAGCTATTGTTGTCTGTGGTTTTTTTTATTTAATCTATATGCTCAAGCTGACAGCCCGTCTAAATAGCCCCTGTACAATTTACATAGAGCCATTTAGTCCCAAGCTAAGCAGAGCTTGTTTCATAGGTACTGGGCAACTGATATAAATACTTACCTACTTTTTTGTAAAGAATAATTATAATCTCAGGACAATTTAGACAGCGTCATCTAGACCCAAGTTAAGCTAGCTAAAGCTTGTGTTGTGGGTACTAGATAACTAATACAGATACTAATACAAAGATATATATATATATATTTTTGTCGTAAATACATACATATTATACATAGAAAACACCCAGACCGATACAAACAATCATACTCATAAATACAAATCCTACCCGCAACCATCACAACTATAGTTGACGTTATAGCATACATTTGTCAGTTTATAACTATTTGCTTTGTGATTAACCTAATGTTGTTTTGTCTAATGTCATTTAACGACTACATAATGTTGAATCAATATGTCGTTAATGTAGTAACGTATGTCATAGTTTCAATGTTAATTCAAGGGAAAGGGGATTGTGAGTGATGTGGACTGATGATCTTATTGCTAGCAATGTACCATGTCAGATTAACTTCCACGCAGTTCACCCTAGAAACCATCGTGATAAATTTTTGGTGAATTTGTCATGATGGGCTAACTGACCTGACCTCATGCTCATCTTATCATCCTCCACTGGTGCCCCGCCAGCGTAAACCGTTAGCGCAGGCGGGTGCACCATTCCATTATCATCCATTATAAAAATGTTAATCTATCGGAATTGTTCTCAAGACCCTACCAATGTAGATTAAAAAATTGACAGCATTGCAAAATTTATAATGATAAAAGTTTCATAACAATCTTGACAAGATTTTCTAGAGCGATTTCATAAGAAATTGTCAATACTGTAAAGATTATTTGTTTTATCTCAATTTTGTTGGGTGGATACTGTCAAATATTATGGAAACACAGATAAATGTATCTTTAAACTAATCCCATCATTAATATTTGAGATTTTTATCAGAAGATTGTACGCGACCTATTATTATTACAGTGTCATGAACTGCTTCAAAAGTATTGCTAAATTGTCGTAAAAGATTGATTTAAGTAGTTGATATATTTGATAAGGCTATTATGAAAGACTAACGGTAGTGGGTTGGGACATACAATATTTGATACAGAGCAATTTTGATATG